TAAGATGGCATTTACAGAGGCCCTCACTGCAGGGTGATCAACTGGGTATAGAAGGATTGTGACAATCTTTCAGGTATCCTGGTCCCAAAACCAGCACCTTTAACTTAGGCCAGTAGCTAACTGGCAGCCAGTGCAATTCTTTCAACAGCAGGGCAGTGTGTTGACAATCTATAATCCGACATCCCATAATACTACCTCCGTAGTCTGTGCAATTAATTATGCATAGGGGAAACAGTCAGATCTGAAAAACGAAACACCAAACTGGGAGACATCTTTGCTTCCAAACATGCATTCATTGTGCTGCTGGTGCTGTTCATGCATGCTTCTATATAACGTTGTTGGCATCAAAAGGTCCACCCCCACATCCAGATTTATTATTTTTTTGCAGAAAATCAAATGCTAAAAGTGGAATCAATGTGGTGCCCAGGTGGGTCCGGGGGGGGGGGGAATTAATGCATCTTCAAATGAGGCAGGTGGATCCTGACATCATGGAAGAAACTTGCCCCGATTTAGTCTGGGCTCAGCGCAATATGGGAACCAAGAGGTAGCCTTGATTCCCTTCTTCGGGAGCGGGGCAGGGAAGTGTGATCCTATTGTTCTTGCTTCAACTCACAGCAGTTTTCAAGGCTGTTGTCCGTGGTATCATCTGCGAACTGTCTTCGTGGGCTGGGAGTTGGTGGCACTATTTTACAGTGGTTCCACTCCTACTGAAGGAGTTGAGTTCAGAGAATGACTTTAAGGGATTATGTGCTCATCCCTTGGCAGTTGTGCTGTTCAGTGCCCCTTAAGGAAGGTTTATACGAAGGTGCTAGGAGCACTTATTAGAAGATTTAGGGTGCAGTGTCATTGTGGGTGGTAGTTCACTATTTTTGACTCAGAGCAGACCTATTGCAATTACTGAACATGGCAAAGTTGGTTTATAAATATTCTTATCAATGCATAAAATCCCAGCACAATGAAAAGACCCCTATACAAAGGTGGTCTGATCTAAATTGAGTCTCCAGTTTTCCGATTCGTACTTACTAACCAAGCCTGAATACTAATTGGCTACTATAACAATTGATATTGTTTCTTTGACATGCTATCTGTCGCTTTTCAAGTGGACTGCACAAAGCACTGGAATGCTTCAGGTTATTCTGCTGTTCAGCTTATCTGCCTTTTGGATTACAGAATTTATAGTTTTAGAGGATTGTGAAGTTACAGTTGTAAGGACACTAAGCAAGATCGCTTGTTTGAAGGGTCAAGTATCCATAACTTTCCAGAATGGAAGGTTAATAATTACTGGCAGAATAATTTACCTGTGCTAAAGAAAAACCAAGCACCCATGGCACTTAGTTGACAATACAAGTATTAATTCCTTATTTGCATGATACATTAATGATACATTAATAACTTTCATGCTGTATTGATAATGCTTGACGCCATCACATTTTTTACCCCTTACGTGTGTTTGTTTCTGTAGAAAAGCATACTTTTTACTTTGCTTGATAGGTCATGGATTCAGGTGTTTGATATATATGTAAGAAATGGTGGGTTTCCCCCCCTTTTTCTTTGCTAGACCAAAGAAAAAAAGTATCAAACAATATGGTGCAATTCAGATTCAGTCCACATCCATAATTTCCCTTTATCTGCCCAACGGCTGCTTCCAATAAGGGGCCGTGCATTGATGGTGGTGACAGATGTTGTGAGTTATTGTTCATGTGGGAAATGAAATAATACCATGTTTCCACAATATCACTATCGACACCAGTTCTATTCAAAGCAGTGGCCCGCAGACCAGTGGCTGCCAGTCCCTGGAGACTACACCATAGCCCAGGTTGTGAGTTCAAATGTGGTCCCTGACACATTGCGGGGAGGGTGTGTGGAACTGCTGGTCCCACACATCAGATAGTTTGAGAAGCACTGCTCTATACCTTTAGCCCCTCTTATTTATTTTGCACGTTTACCTGCTATAGATGTTTGCCAAATGTATCCATGGCATCTAATCAGCGAGATATCTTCACCATGTTTCCACTAAAGCCCAATGGTCTGCCTGGCTGCTCCCATAAAAAAGTTAGAGCATGCCTTTGTAAGTTAAATTCATATTTTGGTCCTTAAGAATAGGGGGCAACTTTAATTGTGGTCCACAGTGTACAGTTAGACCCATAATTTGTACTGCATTCAGAGCCATGGATTCAGTTTTTATAGGGGAAGCCAGGGGTGAGGGAACTTTTTCCAGCCCAGGCCCACAATCCCTTCATGGGCAACCTTTCCAAGGGTGACATATCATTGGTGGATGTGGCAAGATACATATCACTCTCCATCCTGGCAAGCAAAATAGACTGTCGCTGTTACATTCTAGGCAAGTGAAATCACTAGAGGGCCTAGAGCAAGGTCAGTGAGGGGTGTGGCTTGGGCAGAGTCCCAAGGGCCAGACAGAAAGCTTTGGGGGCCACATTCAGACCTTTAGGTCTGGGGTTCCCCATCCTGGAATAGACTTTAATAGGTTTTGTAGTACGTTCAGATACCTTAAACAAAGTTTTTCAGCCAAAGGGACACTATATTTATTATTATTATTATTATTATTATTATTAATTTCTTTTATATACATACTGCCCCACACCCAAAGAGGAAAGTTTTTGCCATTAAAAAAAATGTTTTTATTCAGTTTCCAGAGGAATAGCAGTGTCCCATGGCAGCTTAATGACTGACCAATTTATCGTGACAAACTTTTGTGGGCTAGTTCTTTTTACTTGCTTCACATTTCTAAGAATAATGCCTAAAGAGCCGCAGAATTACAAGAATTATAAACATTAGAAAACACACTAGTGTTTCCTTAAAGGCTGCCAGGTTATAATACTCAGATATATCACCCTGGGTCCTGACAGCAATATAATTTGATGTGTCTCGAATAAAACATGCCAACACCTCTCCTGTCTTACACACAAGGAATCTTGGTATTTTAAAAGGCAGCTTTCCAAAGCCATTTTCCCCTGAATGCAGATGACATCAGGTTTAACCTTCGTCCCATAAATATGCTTCAAGTCTTGCCCATGCGCCATTAAACTCTGCGCATTCCTACAAAAAGTCAAGACCCCTTCATTGCTACACCCCTGACTTTCCTGGGGTTCCATAAACCCAAACCGAAGAGATGGATTTTCACCATCATAGAGAGCCAGTGTGGTGTAGTGGTTAAGAGCGGTAGTCTCCTAATCTGGTGAACCGGGTTCGCGTCCCTGCTCCTCCACATGCAGCTGCTGGGTGACCTTGGGCCAGTCACACTTCTCTGAAGTCTCTCAGCCCCACTCACCTCACAGAGTGTTTGATGTGGGGGAGGAAGGGAAAGGTGAATGTGAGCCGCTTTGAGACTCCTTAAAGGGAGTGAAAGGCGGGATATCAAATCCAAACTCTTCTTCTTCATCATGTTAGGCTGGGAAACTGTGCACTGAATTGCCTCTAGCAGAAAGGGCAAGGAGAAACAGAGTATTACTCTGGTTCCCTTCCTTGCTGCACAACACCCCTCGCCACCTCTCGATTAGGGGAAGGCACCTGATGCTCTAGAGCCGAGTCACCCACCCAGCCCATGTCCCTGTATATTAACCCTCGCGATTCTGCCAAGAGCTGCGTTGCCACCCACTTTGCACACACCCCTGTACGCTGGGCGGTCGTGCTTAGTTTCCCAACCCCGTTGCATCAAACTGGCTCCCTCTGTCCCTTCGCATTGCTCAAAAGCACGTGAGCCGCCACATCGCACACGTCCGCTACACACTGCAATTGCAGCAGCAGCAGCAGCAGCAACAACATACCCCGAGCTTCAAATAGCAATGCAAAGAATATATGAGTCTCCTTGGAAAACAGCCGATATCCTAGGAATCTAGCCGATATCCTGGGAATCAGCCGGTGTCAGGAAGGCGCTTCCCCGCTCTGAAGGAAAGCTGATCTGCAGTAGCATAGGGGGCGAATCGCCCCGCAAACTCCCCCCCATCAGCGCCTTTTCTGTCGTTTCCAAGAACCAAGGCAAATTAAAAACTCGCTCCAGCATTCTAGTCCTCAGTGATTTGTGCGGGTTTCCTCCCCAGTCCCAAGTTAAAAGTTTGCTTTCCTATCCACGGTGGTCTCCACCCTGCGTTCTTTCTTGCACCAGTCCCCCTGCCACTTTTATAGCCCCCATTGCCCATGCATGTTAAGCCCCACGGTGCAGGGAGGTCACCGAGCTTGCAAGCGTGCTTAAGGGAGCTGGGCGGGTTGTAGGTTTGCAGCAGGCGACTCCTTTTGCGCCCCTGCAGAAGTTGATCCGGCTCGGAAACGCCTTTTGCTTTTTCATTCTTTATTATTAGTATTATCCCGAGGAGGTTGTTTGCACCCCCCTCGCAGCCATGGCTCTTTCCAAACAGCCCTGCTGACATCTCTCTCTCTCCAAGAAGGCTTATCCAGCTTTTCCCTCTCAGCCCAAGAACTTTCCATATACAGGAGGCGCACATACACACGCATCCCGGCGCTCGGGCGCTCAGCAGCGCCAGCACCGGCTTCTCTCAAGACTCTGAGCGGCTCCAGCCTCTTCCTAGGGACGCGCCCGCCCTTTCCCGCCCATAACCCCAGTTCCCACAGTCTGACTCCTTCGCAGGGGGCGCCTCGCTCCACAGCTCAGACTGTGCATGCCCGAGTGACGCATTGCAGGTACGAAGCCACCAATCAGCGGAGCCCCTCGGTCGTTCCCTCACTCGCACGTTTTGTCTTCCTCCGCGCTACAAAAAAGTCCCTCCTTTCCAAATTTATTTATATTCTTTTTATAAAAAAAACCACGACTTCTCGTTTCTTGTCGATCCTTGTTTGTTTCTCGTCGAGTGGGGACGACGGACAGCATCGTGGCGGTGTGGGGAAGGAAAAGGGATAGACAGCCGCAGCGACGGTTGGTAACGGCTGCTTGAGGGCGTGGGGCCGGATCTCGTTTCGCCCCGCGCCGCGGCTTCTCTGTGGTGATTTGGAAACGGGGGGGAGGGGAAGGGAGATGGGGCGGGTTAGGAGCGCGGAGGGATCCGGGAGAGTGGTGAGTTGGTTTATGAGGCGCTGCCGGCAGGCGCGCTGTGCCCAGTCTGAGGAGAGCTGCCGAACGGTTAAGGTAGCAGGAGCGGAGGAGACGACTGACAGCGCGCCACTCCCGCCTACCGCGCTTAGCGAGGCTGCCTTCGTCTTCAGCGTTAGCTGCTGCCAAGCCCGGGCCAAGCCACTATGGTTAGCAAACGGACGAGCGGGGAGAGGCGGTTTGCGTTTTAACTCGGATGGGCGGTTGGGCCGCGCGCAATCGGCGCCTTTTTAACCTGAGGCTGCTGTGAGGTGGGGGGGGGGAGAGGACATCCGCCTCTCGGGGGGCTGTGGGGAGGCGCGGGGGGAGGTGGTTCGTTTCCGCCCCCTCCGCTTGTGTGTATCTCAACGTTCCTCGGCTGGATTCAAAATTCAAACCACCGGCGACAGTTGTTTTCGGCGCCATGCTGCTTTCCTCTCCCTCGCGTTTTGGACGAGAGAGATATACGCATATGCACAACCTACATAGTCGGCGCCAGTTTTCTGCCTAGTCGAGGGATTTTTGTTTAGAAGGCAGGCGCAGGCGGCAGTTGGCTGCAGGGGCGCGCGTTTATGTGGGGCGGGGTGGGTGCAACAGCGTCGTTATAGCAACCGAGATGTCACCGCCGCCCCTTCCTTGGCAGCCCTCGGCTTGGGGGTGGGGAGGCAGCTGCTGGAATCCAGAACCGCGATCGCTGATATCTCTCTCCCCCACTACCTAAAAAAAAATTAAGGCTTGAAGGCGTATTTGGGGAGAAATTCGGTGCATGCGGAACGCCGTGTTGTCGGGGAGGGGGCGGCTGCGAGAGGGAGAAGTTGCGGGGTGATGCATTGCAAGATCGCACCTGGAGGCATGGGGGATGCAGAGGGTATCCAAAACGGCTGCGCCAGGTCGCCGGCTTTGTTCGTCCTCAAGGGTAAGGGGGGAAAGGGAGAGCTGTAAGAGCAGATCGACCTTCGCATGAGAAAATGCAATCTGCAAAAGCCCAGAGGCTTGGAGTTTTGTGATGTTTGTGCAAGGAGCGGGGCGGGGAGGGTAGAATGAGGCAGACGGTGCCTGGGCTCCCCCACCCCTGTGCTGTTAGCTAAAGAGTGCGGTCCCGGTAACCCCTGAGATAATATAAACCGTTCGCTGTTCTTGTGTATCCTTTTAAAAAGTAAAGGTTTTTTTTCTGTTGATGGCTACTGTCGAGCTGTCACGTTATTAAGTAAAACTTGGCAGGGTTATACCGAGTTGTCATGCACTGGAATAAAGGCACTTATTTGGAAGGAGACTTGAGGCAATCAATCTGAGGGTCTGCTTGAACTGTCCAGCAGCATAATGCAGAGGCTGTTGCTGCAGTTTTCCCTCTAGGCGTAAACCCTTGTGAAGAGAGAGCAGCTTCCTTGTCTAATGGCAACTGTGACTCCCGCTGGGAGCGCAGCAAGGATATGTAAAAGGAAAAAATCTTTCCATGCTAATTTTGCAGTAAGATCTTAGTCATTAGAAAGCTGGGCATGATTTGATACTCCTAGTCTTTTGCAAAGCAAGGGTGTGCTGTGTGAAGGAGATGGCTGCAGACCTCTGGCTTGACAGTCATGGTTTTTTCACTTCCTATTGAAGGAATTGCTTAGATGAGCTCAGTTAAGACCTTTTCACTCAAGTGAAGTTGAATGATTTGTTTTGACACTAAGGCTGTATGCAGATGTATTCATCAAGGGAAACTAGCTTTTCAGTGGCCATAAAAGTAGAGGTTCATATACCAAGGGATAATTTTAGATATTCAAAGCTATCAAGATTCCAGTTAGTGCTGGTATTCTGGGAACCTCATCTACAAGATGAGCATAATATATGAAAGTTGTTTTCTGTTACCCTGTGAGAGACTTAATATTGACCATCTTCTAAATACTTTTCCATTCCTTAAATATATTGGGTGCTGTGTCTCACAAACATAGTGACCTACCTGAGAGAAATTGTGCTTGCTTTAGATTTGGAGAGTAGATGTAAACCATTTTGTAAGCGTTCTGCAACATGTTTAATTTGGGTATGTCAGCCTCAGCAGCTGTCTCTTAAGCAGCCAACCCTGGACTATTATGAAGCTGTGCCTGGAATATGAATATACTGAAGGCTGGAAAAATCCAAGATGCCAGATCACAAACACTCCAAAAAAATTAAAATGTTGACACCTAGGAATATAAACTTACCATTGGCTGGCCGCTTGAGAACCAGATACTGGCCTAGATGGAACACTGGCCTAATTCCACAGACCTTTTGCATTCTTTAAAGGCTTCTGTTTTGAGGCATTGGAAATGTTTTAGTTCCTACCTATGATACCTTGTTTTCCCAGGTACTGTTTGTTTCTCAAGCAATGTATTGTGAGTAAATGGTCAAACTAGAGTAAAAAATTAATGGAGAAAATGAAACACTTTGAGGATCTTATCCAAAACTCAGGCTTTCTTCCTGGCGTCCTCCTTTTTGGAGCTCCTATTGCATATATCTGTTGATAGCCATGCTGTTAGTATAGGTGTTGGGTTCAAAGCCTCCCAACAATAGAGCCCCTTCTCTATTGACAAATATTTTCTTCCACAGTATTCCAACCTGGAACCCCCTTCACATAAGGATTACTGGTCACTATTTCACCCTCTGTCCTCAATGGAGTTTGCCTTAAAGCATTTCCCCCCCATCTACACAGAAATAGCCCTTGGTTCCTTTTTTCAAAGCTTGTCTGTAGCCTGTTGCTCATGACCTTCTACACTTTAAAAGTCTTTTGTTTTTTGGGGTGAAATTAGGGATGTCATGGAGAGAGATGGGTTTCACCAGGAGAGCTAGAAGCTATCATTATTTATTAAATTTGTATACTGCCCTTCATCAGTAGAACAAAACAATCCCTCTCCCACGAACACATTTAAAAGGGTATAGGATGTTAGTCAGTCAAAAGCCTGGTTGAAGAGGAACATTTGTACCAGGTGCCTAAAAGTATATAATGAAAGGCTTCCCTGCAGAGAGAATCCCACATACAGAGTCACTGCAGAAAAGGCCCATTCTTGTGTTGCCACCCTCCTAACCTCTCATTGAGGAGGCACAGGAAGAAGGGCCTCAGGATGGTTCCAGGGTCTGTGTAGATTCCATTGCAGCTGAGCCTGCACTGAAGCTCATTAGTATATGTTTCCTTGCAGCATAAGTTAAGATGCTTGTAGATGTGAATGGCAGGTAGTAGCGGCACCTCAAAATTCCATTCATGCTATGTTTAGGTCAGATTGTTGTTTCTCTTGATAGAGCTACTACAGAATATTATAACTGGTAATTTTTAATGAAAGTACATGGTCAGTTCAGTGTATTAGTAGTACTCTTCTGTGGTGATGACCTCTTGGATGTGGGCCCCTCATTAATCCTAGCTTGCATAAAGGGATCCACTTTCATCTTGCATAGGCCTACCTCATATTTGAACTTGCTCACTTTACCTTGGCACGATAGAGGAGTGCTAGTTTACACCAGCACATCATGATACCTTCCATTAGTTTCTCTGTCGTAATCTGAATTTCTCACACAACTTCCCCATAATACCATGCTTTTCAGTCTTGGATTACTTCATCTTGTAAGAAATGTTTCCTCTTTCTTTGCCACAAGTATATACCTAGACTCTGACCAGATGTTTGGAAGTATTCTATAAATGCAACACATATGAGCTATGTGTGCAATTGGCATGCACTCTTTCCAGGAAATATATGAATTGCAAAACTAGAAATTTCACCTCAAAGTCAGTTTATACCGGTTCTTCCTCCCACTCCAGTAATTTAAATCAATCCACCTTGCTTCATGGAGCAGGTCTAGCTCTGAAACAGGTGAACAGGGTCCTTGATCATATGCAGAATGTACAGCTTGTACCAGTGACTCACTGCAGTCTATTCAACTTACTGAAGCAAATCTTCTTGCCATACAAAGTTGCCATACACTTCAAATGTTGCACAATGCAGCTCTTTGGCAAATAAGGGATATAGTATATGACTGAAATACCTCTCGTCCTGCAAGCCCTGCTCATGTAAGATTGTGGGTAAGGATGAAATACCTGATCCACCTCTCTCCACCCCACCTGACATACATTTATTCAGAAATACACTTGATTCCTGTGAACCAGATGAACACACTCCATTTGTAATCAAGATCCAATAAGTGAGTTAACAAATCAATTTGAGGGTGGGGAAAATAGCCAAAACAGGAGCTTGCCTTTGATTCTGGGCTACTCAGTCTTGCTGTTTTCACTGTCTCAGTGAATCAGTTTCCTGAGGGGAAGTGAGCAGCAAGTTCACAAGACTCCTGCTAAATGTTTTTTTTAGCCATAGTATTAATGTTAACCAAGAGTGGTGCTTTTTGCAGGCTTCACTTCATGCATAGCTACCCCAGCATCCTCTACTTCCATTCAGCAAGTTTAGCTATATGTGTATGGCCATTTAGACAGTATATAAAAATAGATGGTGTTATGCTCAAACTCATAAAGTAGAAGTGACGGGTGTGAAGCAAACTGAGAAAGCCCTTTCTGTGTATATTTCTTTTGCCTCTTCCACCACACACACTCTTACCTAACTTGAAGCCACAGGGAGAGTTAGGATCTTGGTTTATAAAACTAAAGACTATGTTGAAATACCGTAAATTTCGCTCCATAACACGCAGTTTTTTCCTCCTAGAAAGTAAGGGGAAATGTCTGTGCGTGTTATGGAGCGAATGCCTACAGATGGCGGGGGAATCTGCTGCAGTCGTGAGCAGTCCGTGGCTCGCTTTGAAACAGCAAAGCGGGTGTAAGCGGCTCCTGTCAGCTAGCGGAGCCGGGGAGGAGGGAGAGAAGCAGAGCGGGAGTTGGCTGCTTTAAAACAACCCCTGCTCTCTGTCCCTGCCTGCAGTTTTTTGCTGTCCGATTTTGGATTAGCCACTGTAGGGGCTGTGTGTGTGTGTGCTTGAGCTATCGTTCTCCTCCTCCTGCTTCCCCTTCACTCTCCCAGCACCCCTGCGACTTTAGAATTGACACTGTGTGTCTGTGTGAGGGCTCCTTCTCCTTCTCTTGCTTCCCGTTCACTCTCCCTGCGCCCTGCGACTTTAGAATTGACACTGTGTGTGTGTGTGAGGGATCGTTCTCCTTCTCTTGCTTCCCGTTCACTCCCCCAGCGCCCCTGCGACTTTAGGGCCAGTTCTCTCTCTCTCTCTCTCTCTCTCTCTCTCTCTCTCTCTCTGTGTGTGTTTTGACCTCACTGCGCTTGTTGGGGGAGAGTGTTGGTCGCAATTTTTCTTGATTTGTCTCAGAGTGGTTACTATCATGGTTTCCTTGCCAGGGAGGAGGGAGAGAAGCAGAGCCTGCTTGTTTTAAAGGAGCAAAGCCGGAGAGGAGCCTCTCCTGCATTATTAGCAGCATCCTTCTCCACACCCCCCACGCGTGCTCCTTGTCCCTTGAGTGCTTTTCCTTCCCTCCCCACTTAAAACGTGGTTACAAAGCATGGATCCTCAGGATTTTTGCACTGGGTCACCCCAAATTCACCATCAGATCACATAGCATGTCCATGGCTACAGCCTGCACCAAAAAACACACGCACCCACTGTTTCATGGGGCCGCAATGGCGCAAAAACGTGGTTACAAAGCATGGATCCACATGGATCCTCAGGATTTTTGCATTGGGCTACCCCAAACTCACCGTCAGATCACATGTCTGTGGCCACAGCATGAACCACAAAAATCATACATCCACTGTTTCGTTTAGAATATTTTTTTCTTGTTTTCCTCCTCTAAAAACTACGTCCATATTATGGTCAGGTTCATGTTATAGAGCGAAAAATACGGTACATACTGAGGTGCACCTTAGATCTGGTATCTTCAAATGGAATGCAGTCCACTACAGGGTTATGAAGTGCAGGCCTGTGTAGCTTGTGATTTGAAAGCCATCTAGAAGAAAGCTTACCAGCAACATAGAATGATGCACCAAGGCTTCAAATATATTTGTGCCAGAACAATTAAGTCCCATCCTTCAGTATCTTGTCACCTTTCTCTTTAGTAACTAAGCTGTAGGAAGCTTGAGTATGGGGAAGGCAGTTCATGTCATTCCACTTTGGTTCATATGTATGTACAAGGAACTCCCTATTTGCACGGTGGTTGCGTCCTAGGTATTTGCATGTGTCAGCGGAGCACGCATCTCCCTACCCTTTTTCAAGTTGAAAATGACCTATGTGTCCGTCAATTAAACATGCACAAAATGGTCACTGCCTGTAATTGGAAATTTATTGTATATCTAGTTGGAGATTGGGAGGCTTGCAACTTAACCTGAAAATAATTGAATCTGGGACTATAAAAGTGAAGATTACTTGAAAATGTGACAGATTTGAACATTAATTTCTGTTGTATTGAGAGAACAGTTCAGGTGGCCTGCTGGTGAAGGAGGTTGCTACTGCTCGGCTTAATATGGTCAGTTAAAATTGGTTGAATGGTTCTGCGGTAGATTGGACTATGGTTCTGTGGCAGACTGGGCTAAAAATTAGTGTTCTGGACCTTTGGGTTTCCAGGTGCTACATTGGGCTACCATCATTCCTAATATTGGCTAAACTGACTGGGGATAATGAGGGTTGTAATCCAACACCATTTGGTGACCCGAGATTGAAGGGCACTGTGCTACATGATGCAAACTGAAATGCTTTCATATTATGACTAATCTGATGTAATACAACTTGGCTTCAGGTGGGGGATTTAAAATAAGACAATATAACCAACCTCTCATTTTGGTTCCAATAAAGAGGTTATAGATAGTTTTTTCCAAGGGAGGTGTGGCATTGGTAACCTCTCCTAAATTTTGGGATCCTTTGGAAAATAAGTAATGAAATCATACTTTTGAAAACGTTAGCTTTATTTTATTGATTTCAAGATTCTTACATTTCATTGTATGATACTATTAATAAGTAATATTAATATTATTGGGTGAATATGCTACTTAACACTTTATATTTGCATGCAGTTTTCACTAGGCTTTTTTAAAATTGAAGACTGATTTGTACGTATAGGGGTTTTTGTATTGTGGAGAATAGCCTTGTCATCTTACATAATATAAATTAATGCTATATTTAAAATCTGAAATACAATTGTAAGATACTGCTGAGTGCAACTTGAGATTTTTTGGTGTTTATGAAACTTATGAATGCTAAGAGACTTAGTAGAATTTAAAACATTTTTCATATATCTGTTTCTTGGAAGAATTACAGTTCACTTTTGACAACAACAAACATTTCTCATTTATAGTAACTTTCCATGATGCACATCTAAGATGTGTTTTTTCTGTAAAACCATTATTACTCTTAATGTTGAAAATTAAGTTTGCATTGAGGAAAATCTATATTTGCACCTGAAAGAAGCAGGATGTGGTTAAGATGTTTAAAATCCTGCTCGCATTTTGCTGTGGTTTCTGTGAACATATTGGACTTGAACCACATGGGAACTTTTGATGCAACCTGTAACATACAAGTATAGCTCGGTTTATGCTGCAGGAAGCCCCATTGGGGTTCTTGACATAACATTACTTTTCCCCAAGAAGTGTATATTTTAAAGCATGATACCTATTGTGCATTATTCCCTACAATAAGTGTTGCACAACCAGTTTGCTTCCCAGTCCAAAGAACATAAATTCCCATTCAGTTTAAATTTGGTCAACAGGATTGCAAGTTAAGGTGAGGCTCTCCATAGAAATTGGCATATGTGCCCTACTCAAAGTCATGAGCTTGCTCAAGCTGAATATATGGCAGGTTCTTCGTAATAGCTGAAAGGATTATTCTATGCCTCAGATGAATATTGTTCCAGAGCTTCAGGGCAATTGAAAACTGCTCTTAGTGCCAGGGAACACATAGTACTGTTGATGTACAGTCTCTATAGTGTTATGACAAGTAATTGGCTAAGCCTCTAGTTCCAGTCATATCAAATGAATCCTTGATGCACAATTTAGTTTAAATAGTTTTCTGGTTAAGTGACATGTCATCACATTTGTGAAATTTACTGGGTACAATATTGGATATCAATCTTTAGTTCTCCATTGTTACAATTCACTTTGATCATGCCCAACACAAAGCCGCTTCAGCACTGTGCTGTCTGTTTGTTTTGCATTATTTAATTTGAGGTAGAATATCGCTTGAGCAAACTGCCATCTGGCTTAGTTTCTCTGCTGCACCCAAGCAGTTGGCTGCTACGTAAGGGCAAGGGATGAGAGCTCAACCTGTCCCAGCTGTCAGCCAGAAAATCATCTGATGCAGATAACTCCTCTTCCCTTCATTAAAACTGCAGCTGTATGAGAAGGGCATGCAGGACCACCCCCACCCCCATCAGTTTGCAGCGGACCAAGGGCTACTGGGATATTAGACCCATTCTTTATTGAAAGGCAGTGCCCAGATTGAACCCAAGTAGACTTAATGTCCATTCAGAATTTTTTTCTGATTCTGGCATTCCCAAAATGATTCCTTGCCAAGCTTTATGTGGAAATAGCGGTGTTTTTAGGAACAGGCAAATCTGTAAGTAGGATGTCAATTTTCAAGGTACTAATTTAATTTCCCTTTATCTTTATAGGCTGATCAACTGACAGAAGAGCAGATTGCAGGTGAGATTCTAAATATACAGTACTTGTGATCATGGTGATATAAAACTTGCGTAGTTTTCAGTTGATGCGCAACTTTGTAGTTATAAGTAGCTGTGATGCTATAAGTAGTATTGTAGAACTAATAATTAGAAGATAAACATTTCTTGTGTCACACAGCCTTATTTTTATCAGTACCCCTAATTTTATCATATAACTAAGAACTAACTACACATGACTTCCTGACATTCATAACTCATAAGATAGAACTGTTGCATTGCCTATAATACTTGCTTTTCTTGCTGTAACAAATTGGCATGTGTGCATTTCTGTACTACAAGTAGCGTACACATTTACAAGCTTGTGCAGCAAGTTACACAATCTGGATTCATACTGACTCCTCCCTCCTTTGTTGCTATTAACCAAATAAGATAAAAAATTAAGATACTAGTATTTTCGGTTTGGGGGATTGATTCTGTGTATGTGATTATTTAGATTTTTGTACCTCAGATCATTAATATTGAGTGGTAAAACTTTGCTTAATTCAAGCCCAAGTTTAATGATCAATTTCACTTTTAAATTTTTTAAAGATGTTGCCACAACCCAGTAAGTTGAATAATGTAGTTATTCACGTGTATCCAGTGCAGTTAGGTTTAATAGTCTCTTAACATGTATGATGCCAGTTGTGACCACACCAAACTGTGGAAGTCAGCAAACAGTTGCATGGTAGCATCAAGAGAAATTGCGTGCACGTGTAGAAAAAACACTTCTTTGTAGCTGGTCAAAATAAACATTGATTTTTACAGTTTCCGTTGAACACAAGCACTTAAATAATATTGGTGTAGCTAACATCTGGTTAGTGAATCAAATCAACTGCTACACCATTTGTAGTCTTCGATTGATAGTGTTGAGTGATGTGGTGATTTCATGTTTATCAAATAGCTTATTTTAAAAGTTCTCAAATCAGGTATAATTTATATTCATTAATACTTTTAAAGCATAGCTAACACTATGCTGGTGGAAGGATATTCCCAAAATTCAGGGCCTGCGTTTATGTGGGACAAGATGGGTAAGCTGCTTTCCATGGTCCAATGCATGTCAGGTCTCTAGAAAAGTGTCTAATGGCAAATGTTGTGATACTTTGCACTGATAATAGAAGGGGTGAACATTGTATGCTACTATTGTTAAGGTGTGTATGAAAGTAGTGTTATTGTTGTATAGATTCCTGTATACAAAGGGGGAAATTGGGCATTTAAGTTTTGGGGATGAGATGCCCTTTATTTAAAGCTGCCCTCTGAATATTTGAATATTACCAAGTGTATAAAACTCAGTTGTCTACTAACTTTGTTCTAAAGTGATCAACAATAAAAAGTAGCAATAAAAATAAAGCGGCAATTTAAAAAAATGTTCTGTGGCTAATGAATATAGAGCAAGTTGCTGATGTAATCTTAAAATCTTAGGAAAACATTTTTCATTTATTGTGATTTTAGTATTTTCCCTAAGTGGTTTTAATACAGTAGGCAGAAAGCTTAATCCAGGGCATGTACTAGGTACTCCATACTCGAAAGGCATTTCCTCATCTTCCCTGAGGAATCTACTAGGCCAGCCACTGGATAGAACTAAAACACTGAGTTAACCTGCCCTTTAAAATTTCTTTGCCATTTCTTTGATTCCTGATGTGTAGAGCATTGATTATAAATGGTGTATAGTGTGATTCTGCAAGATGGGAATAAGGGCTAGTTATGAATAGTAAGTGCCTTTGTAATGGGCAAGTTTTTATCCTTCCTTTCCCATCCTTACATTTAAAAAGTATGCTGACAGTTGTAGACACAGCTTGCTGTATTGGATTGAATGGACAGCACTTATTCATGCGGTTTGCCACCCATTCTGCACATAGAAAATATACATTTTTTTCACATGTTCTAGGCTAAGCCATACTCATATTGAGCCTTAAGAAGTGGTAAGTGTTCAGAAGTTAAAGAGCACCATGCAAGTGTTGGTATATTTTGTCAGAAGTTACACCACTGAACCCTAGTGGAAACCAAATCAAGATGTGTCAGGATACTAAGCCAGTAGAACACATTTTTGCATAAAACATGGGATAAATGTGTCCACTGTCAGCATATTGAGAGAAGGTATACATTATCATAAAGGAAAATAAAATAGAGCCAGTGTGGCATAATGATTAGAGCACTGGGCCAGGACTGGGAGATCAGGTTCGAATCCCCACTCAGCTGTGAAGCTTCCTAGGTGACCTTGGGCCAGTCACCATCTCTTAGCCTAACCCACCTCACAAGGTTGTTGTGAGGATGAAATGGGGAGGAGGTGAACCTTGATCCTTGAAAGATAAAGGTGGTATATAAATGTAGTAAATAAAATAAAGTTTCTTATTAAAGAATAGAATAGTGTGGTATAGGGAAAGTTCTGATGGATTCATATTATATTCCACATTTCTGATATTTAACTTGTGCTTCAGTGAATAACAGTGGTGTTTGTGAACACGAGATTAAAGAGGTGCATAAGTGGCAGAGGGAAAGCAAGTGGAGTATCCTCATCTTTTCACACCTAGGTGCCCAAGGTAGCCAGCAGTAGTAAAATATAAAAATCCATATTAAAAATACAAATAAAAAAACCAGAGTGGTTTACGCATTGGGAAAACAAATATTAGCAGGTCAAAAGCCTGTATAAACAAAAAGGTCTTCATTTATTGACAAGGTCTGTAGGGTTAGGTGGACTACAGTGTGGACTATACAAGTCTATGTTATCCTAACTATCGACTCTTAATTGGTCACCACTCAGATGTATGAATTGTATGTGACATATTCCTTCTTTGCTACATTTCTCCAAGTCCTGAACTAAACCAAGGCAGAAACCAGTGAAATATTTTCCTGGATTCTTACGACATCATGGTGTGGGAGGTAGAGGGATTTATATTTTCCTATGGCGGGGGAGGGGAGCTCCCTAATGTAGAAATCCATAACAGGGATTCAAGTTTAACATTTTGTTTAAATCTTTATCTGTGTGTGTTTACAGGGTTCATGAAATGACATTTATACATGCATCTCCCAAAGTTGTTTAATACAGGGGGGAAATGCTACTTGATTCTGCTGAATGTGTAAACTGGTCTTAACCTTAACATATTTGGCTTTTTCCTGGTTAACTGAAAGAAACAAATATCCCTAATGTAAAACTAAAAAGATACTTTAACTACTGAGAGGAGGGTTTTTTTGCCATAAAGCTTTGGATAAACTGTTGAAACAAATAAAACAGTAATGAGTGTAGTAGTCTGAACTGATCTTTCAGTTCAAGCTTGAAACCTGCTTAAATGCTGTCTGAAGGTCATGGAAAAACTGAGAAACATGGGATGATACTGCAGTATTTGGAGTATCGCTGTAATTGGAGTCAATTTAAAGCAGGGAAGGGAAGCTTTTGGCCCTCCAGATGTTGTTGGACTGCAGTTCCCGCCATCTATGACCATGGAACATGACTGCTAGGGCTGATGTGAGTTGGGAATTCTAGAAACATCTGGAGGGCCACATACTCCTCTTCACTTTTCCTACTTTTAAAGAAAGTTCAAACCATTTACTGATCTTACCACACTAATCTGAATGCAGGAAGATTTTTCATTCTTGGTTGCCAGAACCTACAGTACAGTTTAGCAATGGGGCATCTATCAACGCAAAAAACTTCATTTTCTTAGTCAAATTTCCAAGATTGATCAGTTAGTTCCATAAATTTCAAACTGTTTAACAGGTGTGCTATGCCATGGTCATAGCAGTTTGTGATAAACTACTGTCAACACAGAGGTGAGCCAATCCAGGATTTTCCTAGGGGCAGAAGGATAGGAAGCTGTTGCACATGGAAGGAGAGAATTAGTGAAATTCTTCCATCCATAGGAGCATCCACTTCAGAGTTCCATTCCACAACCCTATACAGTCATACCTTGAAAGTCGAACAGAATCTGTTCCGGAAGTCGATTCGACTTCCAAAATGTTTGGAAACCAAAGCATGGCTGCAGGAAGCTCCTGCAGCCAATCAGAAGCTGTGCCGGACATTTGGCTTTCGGAAACAGGAACACTCACTTTCAGGTTTTGATCGTTCAGGAGCCAATTTGTTTGGGAGCCAAGGTGTTTGAGATCCAAGGTACGACTGTATCTCATTCTATATATCTATTTTTCCATATATCTCCCCTTTGGGCAAATTACGTAATACTGATAGTCTTTTCCTATCAAAACTTCTGCTCTTATCTCAACAAGATTATCAGCATCTGTCCAGCTCTGTGCTTTAACTATCAAAGAGGCTAGTTATCCTGTTTGTCTCTGCAGATGAGCATCTAACCTTACATGGTCGCCTTCAATAGGGGATTGAACAGTCTGTGCTCTTAAAATTAAGGGTATAATAAAGTCTATGAACATGCAGAGATAATGGAGAGCCTTTCAAAAGTATTCTTCAGTCCTTTCAGGAGAAAAGGTGGGGTATAAATAAATAATAAAAAATAAAGTAGCACAAATCCAATGTAATGAAAGACTCAAAAATATATAGACCATTGTTCATTACAAGAGAAGGACATGAATATTAGTAGGGAATGTGAGAAACCTGGTAGTAAAGTGATAATTGGTAAAATAATAGATTCTTCTGGTTCTATGCATGTGTAAAGTAGCTAGCATGCTATATATAGTGCACTGAAAACCTTCAGCAGGAGAAATAGCTTCAATGTGCTTCATAGGTAACAATTCATAAATGAAATAACAGTCAACTTTGGAAGCTTTTTGGCCTGGGAACCTGCGACTAGGGTCATATTATTGTTCCCAAAACTACCTGAGGACAATTATGGAGGAATAAAGGTACTCGGATTGTAAATGTAATGTTGGTTCATTAGAATTATGAAAAATAAAAGCACTTCTTAAAATGAAGTTGAAGGACAGAATTAGTAAATTCATTTTGGAAGCACGAAAGTTTAAAACTGTTATAAAATGGGTTGGATAAAATGCATACTTCAGGATGGAAAGGATATGAATACAGTGGTGCCTCGCAAGACGAAATTAATTTGTTCCGCGAGTTTTTTCGTCTAGCGAATTTTTCGTCTTGCGAAGCACGAAATCCCATAGGAATGCATTGAAATTCAATTAATGCGTTCCTATGGTCAAAAAAAGTCCAAACAAAGCCAAATTTGGTACAACAAGAGTTTATTAAGTGCTCTTTAAAGTCACACATACTGTAAAGAGCATTTCAAAACTGAAGGAACAATAAATTAAGTTTCTAAACATGACAGAAAAACATTTAAAAATCAACAAAGTGTACAGTACATTTTCTAAGACTCTGGGGGACAACTTGAAGAAGGTTCCTCTTCCACTCTTTGCTTCTTGCTGAAGAACCCCCTCCTCAACTGTTCCCCCAGCCACCCACCACACAGAAATTCAAATCCAGAATTTTTTTTTAAAAAACAGCAGAGTGGCCCAATGGTCACAGAAAATCATAAAAATGCAGAAAAAAACCACACAAGCTTCCAGATTCTTGCAAACCCCTCCTCAACTGTTCCCCCAGCCACCCACCACACAGAAATTCAAATCCAGAAATTTATTAAAAACCAGCAGAGTGGCCCAATGGTCACAGAAAATCATAAAAATGCAGGAAAAAACCACACAAGCTTCCAGATTCTTGCAAACCCCTCCTCAACTGTTCCCCCAGCCACCCACCACACAGAAATTAAAATACAGATTTTTTTTAAAAAAAAAAACAAACAGCAGAGTGGCCCAATGGTCACAGAAAATCATAAAAATGCAGAAAAAACACACAAGCTTCCAGATTCTTGCAAACCCTCCACAACACCAAGTCCTTGAATTCCAAACACCCCAACCCAAAATCCAAAAACCCCCAAAAAGTTTTTAAAGTTTAACTTACCAAATGGCTGCAAAAGAAGTTTTGGAAAAGCTTCAAAAATCACCAAAGTCTTCAAAAACCTCAAAAAGGCTACCACACCGCATTCTATGAGTTGCTCCTCGAAGTCAAGTCGCAACTGTATTAACGGTGTTAAGAAAAAGGAAACAAACTTGCAAGACGTTTTTGTTTTTCGTCTTGCGAAGCAAGCCCATAGGGAAATTCGTCTTGCGAAGCAGCTCAAAAAACGCAAAACCCTTTCGTCTAGCGAGTTTTTCGTCTTGCGGGGCACCACTGTACCAGTGTAGCTGAGTAAATAGTCTCTAAAGAATGTCGTAAAAGGTAAGGATTATACTGATAATAGGAAATGAAGAAAGGAGGTGTGTCTTCGATAAACACAGATGAAAGTTATAGTAATTGAGTAGAGATACTTCAGAGAAGCTAATGCATACTTTGCATCCATTTCAGTGAAAAAGACCCTCTTAATAATTTTCTTCAGGGAGGGTATCTCAAGAACTACTGATAAGCATAGGTATGCTCACCAATTCCTTGCCTGGGGAGAAAGTGGAGGCAGTGGGTGGTTTTAGTGGAGCCCATGATGGGATAAGAGCTAGGAGTTCTGGTATCAAAAGTAGTGGAAATGAGGCTATTTGCATTTATTTCCACAATTAAGTATGCTTGCTCCCTGAGCATTGAATGTCTGCCTTGGTTCAAATTGATGTGAAGAGAATTTTCTCATTTGGATGCTGGTGTTTGTAGACTAGTTCACACACCCCTCCAAGTGGGAAATGGCACTCAGTGGATAGCTGTAGTTGAATTGGTGGTAACCATTCAGGAAGTATTATGCGATTGTGGACAACTTCCTATGCTGTGACAGTGGAAGAAAGAAAATGGTACTCAGAATTACTAAGAAATGATTGAAAATAAACAGCTTATCATTATGTTAGTATATGCAACTATGATGCTACCATGTTTGGAATATACTGTATCTGGTCACTCCATGCAAATAAACCACAGGGAAAGATACAGAAATGAACAAATGATGGATAAGGTACTAGAGAACCTTTTCTATGAGGAAATAATGGTTATGGCTTTTCAAGTACAAAAGAATTCAAACAGTTGACTTGACACGCTGTAAACTGGTTGAAAAATTGGCTGATCACTTGTGAAAATCATGGGCCCTTTGGTCTGATCTAGCAGGGCTACTCTACAATTACATTCTTGGCAAGACTTTGCCACTTGTACACAATGCAGGTCAGCTTGAAAAACAACCCTGGTTTCTGCTCAAGGCAGGTTACGTAAGAGAGTGTTCAGAAAATGTTAGATACCTCAGATCTTGCTGAAACCATATTAGTTTGGACCTGGATGTGCTTTAGTTTCTTTGGATTCATTCATTGTGCTTAATGCTTCTCAATTCCTGTGCAGTTTAAAAGAGTTTGTAGAAATATAAAGTTGTACAAGCATATATTTAATTTTAAGCTGTCTAATCTTTATACCCTATAGAATTCAAGGAAGCCTTTTCGCTATTTGATAAGGATGGAGATGGTACTATAACGACAAAAGAACTGGGGACAGTGATGAGGTCACTTGGGCAGAATCCAACAGAAGCAGAGTTACAGGACATGATCAACGAAGTAGATGCTGATGGTAAGCTTGTTCTAAAATAGTTAAGTTGCTCCAACACCAATGGCTTTCATTTAACAACCAAATTATCTTACAGGCAATGGCACAATTGACTTCCCTGAATTTTTGACAATGATGGCAAGAAAAATGAAGGATACAGACAGCGAGGAGGAAATTAGAGAAGCATTCCGTGTATTTGATAAGGTATTCAATTAATACACTTGGGAGAAGGAATATCTGAAACTGCAAATTCAGATAATTTTCATATTCAGCACCAGATTTCTAGTTTCAGCTAAGTTAGCATCCGCTCTCCATTTGGCTGGGTTGTTTAACTCAATCAGTTATACTTAGTGCTGAGAAACAGGTCAGATTCTTAATCTCTCGAAGCCCTGATATTTCATATGAATTGAGATGCAACTTGAGGTGTGCTGGTGAGGCCCTGCTTAAAGTATCATCTTATTTGGTTAACAAATTGGTGTCTACAAAAAGCAGGACTTTGGGGTGGTAGCCTCAGAACTGTGGGGGCTGTTCAGGTGATTTATTTCATAACATTTATATTCTGCTTGATAGTAAAAATATATATATCAAAGTGTCAGTTCTTTAAAACACTTCTTCATACTCTCCTATAAATTCTTTTAGGAGGTTGGTTCCTGCTGGTTCTGATAAGTCTGCTGTTGATACATTTTATTGCTTAACCCATTTCATGAGCATTTTGAGAATTTGTTGCTGTTTAAGATCTTACGTCCAGTTACTTTGTGACATTTCTGAAAAAGATCAAGCCACAGTTGGAATTTGAAACTAAAGCTCTCATATGAGCTCATGAACCTGTCATATATGTTCCCTATGAGAACAGGCCCTTGGCCTGATCTAGTCAGCTATTCTTATGTTCTTAACCCATTAATAAATTGGTGTATGTTCACAGAACAATTTTGAGATATTCCCATTTCCTATTAAGTAGTTCTTGCTGAGGCAGGAAAAGGAAGCCCTCAGATATTGTGACAACTCATAGAGTAGGAATTCATTCATATCACTACTGCCCTGCAAAACCTAGGCTTGGCTATGTTGGGAACTAGTTCATAATAACACTCTTTACTCCAAACAAAATTAAAAAATTCCTTCCAGAAGCGCCTTAGAGACCAACTAAGTTTGTTACTGGTATGAGCTTTCGTGTGCATGCACACTTCTTCAGATACCATTGAGTATCTTCAGATACTCCGTTGTGGAAGTCTAGTGATGCAAACCAAGCAACAATCTAGCTAGTCAGCAACTGCATAATATGACTGGTTTCTGAAATTTAAATGATGTTTCTTACAAAACAATAAAGGTATAAACAATTCCAGGGAGAATTTACGTATTGGCAACACCATTCATAACGTAAGTGACCTGCATGTTGATTTTATACCCAAGGCAGTCCAAAATACAGATGGTGCTATAAATTTTAAGTAGCTCAAAATTTCTGGCCATGTTGTGCACCTCTAGGCAAGGGTGGGATTTGAAGGGGATAGTGGATTAAAAAATGGAAGTTATGCCTGATCAAGGCAGTTTCTGGCATTTATTTCCTGTTGCATAAGTACTAACTTGCACACACCTGAATATAGCAAAGCTCAACAAACTACTTGTAAATGTTTTACAGGATGGTAATGGTTATATTAGTGCTGCAGAGCTTCGCCATGTGATGACAAATCTTGGAGAGAAATTAACAGATGAAGAAGTTGATGAGATGATTAGAGAAGCAGATATTGATGGTGATGGTCAAGTAAACTATGAAGGTAAAATTGATAACTGATTTTCTCATTGACTAATATAGCCCTCATTGACTAATATAGTTGCCTGAACTTACTGGCCAGAATACAAATAAGGTTTGTTTCCATGCACATGTTGGGATATTCCATACTTGCATTCTTTGCTGCTGCTGCTTCAGCATTTGTAGCAAAGCTAGTGTAGTTCAATATGGTCTAACTACCATTCTGCCACAAACTTAAATATGCTTAATTAATAAATAATGAATAATAAACTTTGCATATTTCTGTACAGTAGGAAAGTGGTCTGTTCTCAGTGTAATGCAGACAGTGACTTTTTATCATAGTACATAGCTGTTAGGTTTGTTCAGAAGTGCCATTGTAGTTTAAGTTGATCACTTATGTAAGAATAAACTCACCAAACAGATATTGCCCTGGGCTTAGAACATGCAGTTGGGCTATTTTATTTAAGGCATTTATATGCCACCCTTCAAAGTACTTATTTCAGGGCAGTTTCATTTGCGTTATAAAAGCAAAACAAAATAATTAAAATATCATGAACTTCTAATGTTTGAAATACAGCATTCTTCTAATATTTAAAATACTAGCCATTAAAATATCTGCAAGGATAAAAAAAAATGCCTTAACCTAGTCCCGAGAAGATAGACATACTGGGAGCCAGGTGACCTAGGAAACTAATATGGTGTGTCTAATATTTGAAATCTTCATGTAGATCCCTAAATGGATAGCTTTTCAGTTAGGTAGATAAGAAGTTTAAAAGAAGTTTTGAAAGAAAACTGAGTACTGTTTATTGATGCAAGGAGGGGAGCTACTAGTAGTCATAAGCTGTTATTTTAATTGTTGCTTTTAAATGTCTTCCAATGTGTTTTGATTATTTTTAACTAGCTAGTTTTTATTAATGTTGGAAGCTGCCTTGAATCCCTGCTTGGGAAAAGGCAGGATATAAATCATTTTTTAAAAATCCTTATTATCATTTAATATATATCTGAAATATATCTGCCTAAGTTGTAGAGAGCTACCATTAAGAGTATTTCTAATAAGTAGAAGCACTTAATGTAGCAAGTTGATTCTTAATACGAACATGTTGCAGAAATACTTGAATAAACATGACTGTCTCTTTTCCTCTACAGAGTTTGTACAAATGATGACAGCAAAGTGAAGACACTGTACAGAATGTGTTAAATTTCTTGTACAAATTGTTTATTTGCCTTTTTCTCTGTTTGTAACTTATCTGTAAAAGGTTTCCCCCTACTGTCAAGAGAATATGCATGTATAGTAACAAACTCATTCCTCCATGTTTTTCCCTTTATCTGTCATCCTGATATTTTGGGAAAATGATCAAAGTAACAAATGTTTGCATGTGGCTTACTCTGGATATTTAAGCCCTTCCACACTTCTAAAGCTAGATGATGTGTTGGTCAAATGAGGGAACATCTAGGTTATGCCTGTTTTAAAATTAGTTCTTTTAGGAAACTTAGCATGTTGTTGAAATGTAGTCTTAACTCTGTGTGGACTATGGACAGTCAACAATATGGAACTTAAAAAGTTTGCACTATTGCAAAACGGGTGTATTATCCAGGTACTCGTACACTATTTTTTGTACTGCTGGTCCTGTACCAGAAGACCTTTTATTCTATGGTTACTATGCTTTTAAAACTTTTGTTCAGCCACTTATTTTCAAAAGAATCTGCTTATGGCACAACTTGCCTCAAATCCATTCCAAGTTGTATATTTGTTTTCCAATAAAAAATTACAATTAACCCATATTGTTCCTCTGTCTCTTTAAACATTTTGTATATCCCTTGTCATGTTAATTCTTGATACTTCAATAGGAACAGCAGATACAGACTTAAGAATGTCGGGGAGATGGCCCATTGGAGCTTCTATGTTAGATATTTGTTATCTGTAATGCCTCTATTGACACATGACATCATTGATCTATTCTGTACAGACACACTCAACTGTAAGGGACTGGTTTTGGGGTGTTGCTGGAGCTGGTTCTAAGTTGGGAGCTGTGGCCATAGTGGTGTTTTCAATTATACCCACTACATTAATTTGATGACCTCTGACTGCATTACTGTAAAAACCTGAAAAGCATTGTACACAATGTTTGATTGAAGAATGGATTGGAAGCTTCAGCCTAGCAGCTCATCTGCTAAGAGGTTTGGACAGATACTTGCATCATTTCTCAAAGCATAAGCACTGACTGCTGGTCTGTTTTTGGGCTCAATTCAAAGTGCTGGCACAAATGTCTTTGAGTATAACTATATGAGTGAATGTTTCCTTTCATATGAGGCCTTCCTCCTCAGCATTTATTATCTTCCAATGAGTTTCTGCTTCAAATTATATCACAGGGACACCAGATTAGCCTTTATCAGAAGCATGGCTTTCTGTAGCATCCCCAATGCTATGAACTACTACTTCTGCAGACAAATAAAAACCTTGTTTCCGACAGCCTTTGGTTCCTGTTTTGCCATGCTTGGCGGTGTCTTATGTATACTATTTATTTTCTGTGTGTTTTTCATTCGTACAGTCCGAACTTGGTAAAGCTACCTTGAAGTTTGAATGCTAAAGTGGTCTAAAATATTTTTAGTTCAGTCTTCCTCATTCCACTAGTAAATGGGTACAAGCCCAAAAACAAGGGTTTTCCCCCCATTTCTGGATGGACAGATTGCATGTGTTTCAAAATCAAAAGCTCCCTCCTGATTGAGAGTTTGTACATTGTATCATAATGTCCATAGTGACACTTCATTATAACTGCTAGTGAGTGAAAGGAGGTACATAGGAAAGGTCTGGCCCTTGCCTCTGTAGTGACTCATTATGAGTCCTCTCGTTTTGATACAGGTGTGGGATAGCATCTGGGGATGGTCAGTGAGGCAAAGCATGGCCACATCTTTACAAGGCAGTTTTCCATGATGTACAGAAGTTCCACTCACTACCAACCATAACGAAACCTAAAAGTCAAAATGCTTGGTGGCCGTCGCAGTACTTTTGCGCAAGCGTCTGAAGACACGGTTTGTTACTCCTTTTGGTTTCCATTAAGCCTTTGACAATGTTCTGTGGTGATTGATCAGTGTGGGCCTCAAGTCATATGCGTCATAACTAGGAAATTTCTCTGGCAGCTGAAATTTGGTGCTTGAGGGAGGGAGATTAAGAGATTTTTTATGTCTTCTCTCGCCCCCTGTAACCCACCATGCAGCAATAGGAATTCTGCATTCTGAAGAGAGACCTCAAGCCCTGCCTCCATGGGAAAGTGGACGTGTGGGATCAACTTTGTATTATAAAAGCCCTTAGATTGGGTAAAAGGATATTGGTCATAGCAACAAACGGATTCCCCACCTTAAAATACTGTTAATATTTGCCTTGGTGGGGAAGTATCAATCAGTGCTTATACACTTCAAGGTTATCCAGCCAAATCTAGAATGGCAAATCCTCAGTTTGCATTTGTTGTCAGGTCCCTAGAGTTTCTGTTGGGAGTCTGTAGATTCTTAGCATTTGTTAGATCTTTTTACAGCATGCAAGCCCAATTCAGGTGCTTGGCTCCGTGTAAAAGAGGTCACACATGATTCCATCACCCCACCATTGCATGTTGAGAAGACCTGAAGTGAGACTCTTCCCACATTCTGTTGCTTAGTTGGTTTTGTGCAATGATCATCCGGAGTTCCCATTTTAAGTGTGTTCTGCCTATTACACAAAGACATTTCAGATCTTTTCACACAGTTCTGGTAAAACTGATGGGAACGGGGGTAGCAACCTTTCATGTTCTCAGAACACAGGCAAGGGTCTGTAGGACCTGTAGGATGCAGTAGTCATGGCAACTTCATATGATTCATCCTGTAACCATGCTGCATGTGGACTGGTCATCTGGTTGCATTTTCATGGCAGCCCTTCAAAGGATGAAATGTACTTGCTTGTGCTTTGAGAGATCATCAGAATAAACCCTTGGAATCCCCTGAAGATGGAAATGCCCTGATTTCCCTGGAAATGCACTTTAATTTTCATATGGTTCATTTATGCTGAAGAGAACAGCTGCATCACAGGGAGATTATTGGCGGTGGGTGGGTGGGTGTGCGCGCGCGCAAACGACAAAAGCCTTCCAATGTACCAAATTCTAAAGGCAGCACTTAAGCTCATCTGCTTTTTACAAGCACAAGGTCCCGGGTTCATTCCCCAGGAAGGTTTGGGAATGTCCCTTGTCTAACCCTGCTGGTCAGTGTAGAAAACATTTAGCTAGATGGACCAAATGTTCTTACTCAATACAGTGGTGCCCCGCAAGACGAATGCCTCGCAAGACGAAAAACTCGCTAGACGAAAGGGTTTTGCGTTTTTTGAGTCGTTCCGCAAGACAAATTTCCCTATGGTCTTGCTTCGCAAGACGAAATGTCTTGCGAGTTTGTTTCCTTTTTCTTAAAGCCGCTAAGCCGTTAATAGCTGCTAAGCCGCTAATAGCCGTGCTTCGTAAGACGAAAAAACCGCAAGACGAAGAGACTCGTGGAACGGATTAATTTCGTCTTGCGAGGCACCACTGTATAAGGCTACTTCCATGTTGCTTGACTCCCACAAGCAAACAAAAAGAGGCATACACAAAGCAAGAGGAGAACTGATCTCTGTGGCTGGGAAACCAATTTGCAACTATGGTCTGGGATCCAAAGAGCTAATTGAAGCACTCAGAGCAGTTGGTGGATATGAGCGATTAGATTTTAATTCTTATTTTGCATTTTAACAGTAAACTACCATGCCGTATTGCAAAAAGCTTTTCAGATTCAGTTTATAAAGCAGTTTGCCATATTCTTTAATGTTCAAGAAACAAGTCCACTCTCATTAATTTGATCGCCTGGTACTCCACCTGCAAATCTTGACGTTGGTATATTCACTGGGACACTATCCTTTATTGCCATCCTTTTATTCAAAACAGATAAGCAGCTTCTTTTTTGCTGGAGGAAGACTGGCTTGTATTCATAGAATCAGGAGTTGGAAGGGACCCCAAGAGTCACCTAGTCCAACCTCCTGGAATGCAGGAATTAATTCAGGTTACTTTTACTCAGATTAGGCCTGTTGAAATTAATTTAGGTCTGCTGATTTCAATGGGTCTACTCAGTAAACAATTGAAAATGACAATAGTTTTTTTTAATAGGAGTTGGCACTGGATTTTGAAATGGCTCTTTTAAATGTCTTGTTTGCACACATCACTTTTGTCCAGCCACTGTCGCTTTTAGTCAAACAATGCAAAAACCTGCACAGCCTGTTCACCAGAAGGTTAAAATCAGGATAACGCTGGGATCACAAGGGACTTCAAAATTGGATTGCTGTAATGCACTCTGTGTGGGGGCTGCTAAAAGCGTTTTTTTGTTCAGGCATGTAGACGTTTTAATCTGTTTTTAGCTCAACTGTTACTGTACTTTAATCTGTTTTTAGCTTTGTCTTTTATTGACAATTTTCATGTTTGCTTTGTTCTTTGTAAACTGCTTACAGGCTCTATTTACAATCAAACAGTCTATAAATTATCTTAAATAAATGTAAATATGTAAAAAATTCCTCTCCCCCCCCCCCCAAATATTTCTTGGCAATTAATTTTTACTGCTTTTCTTTTCTTTTTAAAATATTTTTTATTAGGAATTTCAACATAACAATTTATCAAAAACACATCATCCTCACCCCCCCATTTTTCCCTCCCCCCAAAAGAACCCCCCCTCCTACCCCACCCCCAGACTTCCCTCAGCTCCTCTCTCTGGTTTTTCATCAGATGTTATTCTCTGCATATTATAAAATTGTAAAGAACCTTAATTTATCTATCTATATATTACCAAGAAAAAGTTTGTGACTGTTTATTCAAAACCTGCCAAGGAGTCCAGTTCATTTTGTTGTTTCTTTAAGTACTTTGTAAAAGGTTCCCATTCTTCTTTAAAGTCTAATTGTTACTGCTTTTTAACTCTCTTCGATATTTTCTAAGTTCTCTGTTTTGAGCCACTTGCTGTTTCCAGGTTTTATCTTTTCCCATTTCTCCTCTTGCATGTGAACACTCTAATATAGAGCCCTTGAATTGTGATGTCACAGATACCTTTATAACTGGTGCAAACCAACAGCAGTACTCAGTTTATGTCCGAAAGAAGATGGAAATCCTAGCTCGCAGTAGGGGCGCAAGTAGAATGAGTGGACAGTTTGGGGTAAATCCTATACACTCATCTTTGGATTTATTTGTTTGTTCTTTTATTCGAAGTATTTGTACCCTATCCTCATTCAGTGGTCTCTATGTGCCACACAATAACCCCAAGAATAAAAATCAAACATAATAAAATTAATTACAAATCACAAATAAGAGAGCCTGGAACAGCAGAAATAAAATATCACAATGCACTTAGAATTGTAGAGTTGGAAGGGACCCTGAGGACAGTTTAGTACAGCCCTCTGCAATCCTGCCCACAATCGCCCCTGGGCAGCCTTGAACCACCAACCTAGTTAACATCCAGACACACTGACCCATTATGCCACAGAGATTTCGTCCTTCCCCCAAAGCCTGGCTTTTAATAATCATAAAATCATCAAATTGTATGACCCATGGGTCATCTAGTCCAAGCCTCTGCAATGCAAGAACCGCAACTAAAGCATCCATGATAGATGGTTATTCAGCATCTGTAATACCTCCAAGAAAGGAGAAATAATAATCCTACATTTAAAATTGCATAATTAAGCAACAGCAAATATTTTGAAACAACGGACGTAAGCAAAATAAATAACTGCAAAAGCAAGTCATGTGCAAAGCAACAAAATCCATTAAAATTCAAGATGAGCATGTGGCAGAATTGCAGTATAGAGCTAGAATATCTCTACAAAAATCCCATATATAATGCACTGATCAAAATCATTCACGAACACATTCTCACAACACAAAAGTTTTGGGCCATATCCTCTTCCCCTAACCAGGGCCGGTGCAGCCATTTGGCAGGATGAGGCTGCTGCCTCAGGTGGCAGAAGCCCCCAGTGCACCACCCCACCTGCCCGGCCATCTATTTCAGGCCAGATCTCACAGATCTCACAGATCACAAGAACTTAACCTGCGATCCTCTGCATGCAAGGCATGCCCTCTACTTTCTTTTCATGTGTCTCGCATGCATACCTGAACTATCAGCTCTTCTAAGCACCCCTTCCTAGGTGTGTGAACTTGCTTCTCTTAATGTGAAAGTCGCACCTTCTATTTTTAAAAATGATTTTTTTTAGTAAGGCTTGGAGAAAAACAAAAACAAAGGAAAAGCAATACACAATATACTTCAATATCAAATACCAAGCATTTTTTAACATTAAAAACTAAAAGAGAGAAAGTAAAAGAAAGAGAAGAAAATACTTCCGATTCTTCGTTTCATCAGCTTTATAGACTTAAGCAACACCCTTGTTCCAGAATAGTTACCAACTCTTCTGCTTTCCATAAACCAACCTTTTTTCAGTCTTCAAACCCAGATATCACAAGTTTGTTTTCCTTTCTGTGCAAAAAATCCTTAAGGAGTTTCCAATCATTAATAAATGTCAACCATGGTTTTTCTCTACTTAAACATGTCAACTTCTCCATCTCAGCCAAATCCATTAATTTCAATAACCATTCTTCCATAGTCAGTGCTTTTTTTCTAAAAAAAATTATGTTTTCCTGCTCATATTGAAACACTGCCCCTCGATGAGGCCAAACTTAGATTCACAAAATGTTTAGGGGTATGCGTACCCCTACGTACCCACCCCCCTGAAAAAAGCACTCTCCATAGTAGATAATAGTGAGTCCTTCCATCTTTGTGAATATGGCAATCTTGCCGCTGTGTTCATATATTGAAATAATATTCCACAATCATTTTCTGTTTTTATATTCATTAGTCCCAGCAGGAAGAGTTCTGGCTCCAGTTGAATATTAACCTTCAAAATCTTCTGTATCAATGTGCGTATTGGTATCCAATTTTTTTTTTTAAGCTTTTTTACACATCCATGAAAGTCACATATACCATACAGCTTATCCACACCATGAGAGACATGCATGCACATACTGCCCATGTCTCCACTAGTGCCATAATTTTGGGTACACCTCGCTTTGGTTTCTCTTCCTTCCATTAATGGTTCTTGTTTGGAAAGCAACACTATCTATGCACATGGTTGGGACCCCTTGGATCAGGATGTATGTATTTTATTTTTGTGCTTTGTAGCATATATGAAGATTTAGGGTTTTGTCTGTGTTCGTATGTAGGCAACATATATACAGTACGTACATCTATGACCAACGGACAAATGTAAAAAGTTGCACATAAAATCTGGATTTCTTTGAAGGTTGCTGACAAAGACAAGGATAAAGAAATTGATTTTGGAAGAGATGCGTGGTGGAGGGAATCCCTTAGGGTATGTATAATGTTCATTTAATTGTGCTTAGCTGTGTGTCACCAAGGTGGAAACTGAAACACTGCGTGACCTGACATGATTGTGCAGAGTTTTAGAAGGCGCTGTGCATTTTTCCAGCAATTGCAAGCCCCAGTTCTTAATCGGAGCAGAATTCTGGAATATATTCATTTACCGTGAGCCTTCTGATGTGGAAATCTGATGTGGAAAAGGGCACTCCATCCTTTGCGTAACGCACATGGGAACAATGCTAATATAAAGTATGCCCCCTTCAAACAACCACCCCCGTGTAAGAATATTTCGCATGAATTGACTTGGTTCATGTGCATCATTATCTTGTATACTTTGGAAGCGAATTTCAACCTTGTTTTTTTTACCCCTTCGGCCACTTCAATCTGTGGAACTGCCACTCTTCCCGGGGCTGCAAATACTTGCTCTGCATTTCTGAGAAATTGACCTTTTAGCGTGGCGGCACCTAAGCTTCAGAACTCCCTGCCTATTTATATTAGACAGGTTCCCTTCTTTTGAGCCCCTGTAAAAATAAGCATTTTTGTTTAGGCAAGTATTTCAGACATGTAGAATGTTGGCATGCATCTTAATTTTTTAAAAAGTTTTTCGTGGGTTTAAATTATTTTTAAAATATCTTGATTTGTTGACTGTTTTTTAATCAATAATGAGATTTATTTGTTTTGTAAACTGCTTCGAATGTTTTTTTTTAATTAAAAAAAAAACCCCATCAAGCAGTAAATACATTTTATCAAATAGACAACTTTTTACACTACAAAGTACAACCAGAGCCCTTATTTTATGTAGGGTGAGGGGTGGGGAGTCCATGATGGAGCAAACCACCACTTTTTAAATCCTGCCAGCCTTAAAACAACCAGGGTGGAAGGTGTAGGAAGGGTGGGAAGAAAGAGAGGAAGAGAGAGATTTTACTTCCCCTCATCCTCATTTTTGAAATTTCCCCTTTTATCAGTTTCAACTGGAGGAGGAATAACACTGTATGCAATACACTCTCACATCCTCACCACACATTTAAAGCACATTGCTTCCTCCAAAGAATCCTGGGAACTGTCATTTGCACCTTCCAGAACTACAATTCCCAGCACCGTTGACAAAACTACAGTTCCCAGGTCATTCCCCTCTGTTGGAGGAAAGAGCTGTGTATGCTACACTAACTGTCCTCCCCCTGCCCCGCCAACAAGTGGAAAATGCTGTCCCTTCATCAGTGCTGTGGTAAGAGTCAACTGCCATCCCAGTTGGCTTCTGCACATGGAAAAGGAGCGGAGGCCATCTTGTCTTTTACCTCAGGCAAAAAGGCTGGCCCTGCCTGGTTCAGACAGTGTGGTATTAAAATAGAGATGCAGACAAGACATTACTGTAACCGAAGCCAACTGATTTTAATGCGTTTACTCTAACACTGGAACTCCCCTAAAGGTTTTTGGCTGGCATCTTTTAACGGTTAATAACAAAATAAAACAAAACTGCTATTTAACCACAAGGAGAGTATGTGTTTATGCTTTAAAGAACACCATTTAGAGGGGAAGAGAGGAATGTACACTTGAATGCCGTTCCTTGTCTGCTGCACTGAGCTTCTTAGAGGACAGGGAGGATAAAACCTACAACCTAGAGCAAATAAGTACGACAAATCCCGAAATCCTCAAGTTAATTGCTAGCTGTGGGTCAGATTTCAAGTTTCTTTCCTTCAGCCCACCCCAATACCAGGCTGCTACCCAGTCCGGGATTTTCTCGAGGATGCTCAGCTGAACCCAGTGAAGCGGACGTACAATTTTAAAGGGGAAGGCCGGAAGAGGATCTCCATCTTCCAACAGATGACTGACATGACCCTACCAAGCAGCTTCAAATACATCCCTCCTTCGTTTGTGGAGCTGGCTGAGAAAAAGCGCGTGACATATTCCTTCAGGAGCGTCTCGAGGGAGGCGCCCACGACTGCCTCCTATAGAGATAAGGTAAAAGTAAAGAAATGGGCCCATTCATTAAAAAAATATTTGGGGGGGGCATTCATTTTAATAACTAAGGAGGGGGGAAACCCAGCCAGGTGGGTGGGGTATAATAATTATAATTATAATTATTATAATAATTATAGTGGAATCTCAGTTTTCGAGCGTCTTGGAAGCCAAATGTTTCGGAAGCTGAACACCAAAAACCCGCAAGTAATTGCTTCCATTTTCGAATGCACCTCAGAAGTCAAACGGTTTCCACTGCGTGTTTTTCTTTTTTTCTCAATGGCTTTTGCCAGCTGCCCATTGCTCATTGGTTTTCAAACATTTCGGAAGTCGAACGGTCTTCCGGAACAGATTACGTTCAAAAACTGAGGTTCCACTGTATTATTATTACTCAGCTTTAAAGGTTAAATGTCTAGCTTTGCAAATTTAGATAATGTCGCTATAGAAATACACTGCATTTCATCACCGCGCCCAAGTCCCCTGGGTGCCTGCTCAGTCTGTTATCCGAATGCTGTTGATGGACAACTTCAGAACCCCTGCTCTCTCGCTCTCTTTTGGGGGGGGAGGGGGGGTCCCTGGTATGCCCCGCAAAGGACCTGAAGGTCCATGAATAATCACAGTTTTAGAGGTCAGATTATTATTAAAGAAGTCAGATTATCCTCCACCAGGGCCAGGGCTTTCGCAGTGATGGCTCCAATCTGGTGTAATGCTCTGTCCCATGAGACCAGGGCCCTGCAGGATTTATTTTCCTTCCGCAGGGCCTGTAAAACAGAGCTATTCCGCCTGGCTTTCAATTTGAACTTAGCCTGATCTTTTATTCCCCTTCCTTCCCTCTCCCTCCCCTTTTTATGAAGATTACCCGCTCTGGGATCCCACAGTTAATTCTCCCCTGGCCTCCTCGCTGGCCCAAATAGGACTAATTTAGCCAGCTAGCCCAGGTGATCATCTAATGTTTATTGGATGGATTTCCCCCTAAAAATTGATTTTTGAATTCTGAATTTATTGTTATTCATGTTTTATGCTGTATTTTATGCTGTTTTTTGTTGCATCAATTAAGTGTTTTAAATTTGTTGTTAGCCACCCTGAGCCTGGTTTTCTGAACCGGGAAGGGTGGGGTGTAAATAAAAATGTATGTATGTATGTATGTAAATTGGGCTGGGACTGGACAGTGCTTCAGATAGAAGCCTTCCTCAAAGAGAGGACTGTTCTCTGATAGAGGACAGTCTTCTATGTGAAGGCCTATCAAGCAGACAGGGGCGCCAACCAGAAGGAGTTTCCGCCCCCTCAGTATTTGTGTGTAGGGGGCTAAGTCCCCTCCCTCAATATTGAGAGGGCTGCCATCCCCCGCAGCCTGCCACCGCCGGGTGAGCATTTGTGTGCGCAGAAGGGTGCATGACGTCATTGTGTGTGATGTCACACGTGCGTGTGATGTCATGTGGGGAGAAGGTCGGCACCCCTGCAAGCAGAACACATGACCCCACCACATGAACCTGCCCAATAATCAAGCTCTGCGAGGAGAGAAGAAGCAGGGCCTTCTGGATTGTGGCACCTTCTCTCAGAAATCATCTGAAGGCAACCCTCTTCTCAGCTTTCAGAACAAAGATAATGTTATAATTTGAACGTTGACTTGTGAGCTGCTGAAGAAAGGGTAGAGAAAGCTTTACCCTGTCAGATTTGTTAGCTGCCTCCTGAATCTTTGTGATGAGGAATTGGGGAAACAACTATTTTAAATAGTATATAATAAAATAAAACTTGGGTTACTGACATTTGTATTGTGTACACTTGATTCCCCGCAGGATATAAACACTGACCCCGGGCAGTACGATCTTTTCCCTCCTCCTGTGCCCACTTTTCCAACCAAGTGAGTACACAGTCTTTGCTAATCTCGTTTCTCCCTCCCGCTCCTCCCCCACCCTGTACAGATTATTTTTGCCTGCTTTATTTTAAAGCCTTCATTTTGCCTCATTTCCAAGCGTCGGCAAATCCCATGGCTGAGGACAAAGGGCGATTCGTGCCACCACCTCAGATAGGCTCCTGCTGATTTCAATAAGCAGGCTTCAATTAAAAAGGTGGTTTGTTTTCATGAAAGGGCCTCGCTTTGAGAGCTGACCTCCATTTGCACTGAGAGCATGGGGCATGGCGGGGGCGGGCGGGCTGTATGCTTCTGAAGACCAGTTGCTTCCAAAGGAGGGAAGAGGGCTTGGGTCCTGCTTCTGGGCATCTGATTGGCCACTGTGAAAACAGGATGCTGAACTACATCAGGGGTCAGCAAACCTTTTCAGCAGGGGGCCGGTCCACTGTCCCTCAGACCTTGTGAGGGGCTGGACTATATTTTTTTTTGGGGGGGGGAATGAATGAATTCCTATGCCCCACAAATAACCCAGAGATGCATTTTAAATAAAAGGACACATTCTACTCATGTGAAGACACCAGGCAGGCCTCATAAATAACCCAGAGATGCATTTTAAATAAAAGGACACATTCTACTCATGTGAAAACACCAGGCAGGCCCCACAAATAACCCAGAGATGCATTTTAAATAAAAGGACATATTCTACTCATGTAAAAACATGCTGATTCCCAGACCATCCACGGGCCGGATTGAGAAGGCGATTGGGCCGCATCCGGCCCCCGGGCCTTAGTTTGCCTACCCATGAACTAGATTGACCTCTGGACTGGTCTGCTGGGATCTTCTTAAGTTCTTGTGCAAAGAATCAGTCACTAGTGCATTATTTTTATTTGAATTTATTAGTTGCTTGTTAGTTGCTACACACACAAACAAAATCTCCAAATGACCAAGGCTGCGTACATGCCGTGCATTCAAAGCAACCCCTACCCCAGCAAATCCTGGGAACTGTTGTTTGGGGAGGGTGCAAAGGCACAATTAAATAAGCAAAACACCTAAACCCACGGTCCAATTAAAACAACACAATTGAAATAGGTGTGTTTCCTGCACATTCTTTAAGCTTTGCATATTGTCTGCTAAGTTGCATGCTGACTTTTGATCAGATACATTTCTAAGCTAAAAGAAAAATGGGACTGGGGACCATTTCTGAAGTTGAGGACTTCTCAAAAGAACTTAAAACACATTCTCTCTCCCCCCCCCCCCCCCAAATGCAGGAATTATATGTTTCGATCTGCAGTTCAACGGCTTAACACTTTTGGTCCGGTAAGTATTCTGCTGATTGAGGACTTGTTAGGTTTGCAAAGAAGAAGAAAGTAAATGCACACTTACAAATAGATGCTAATATGTAAGATTCACACCTGCTAATGAAGCAAGGAAGCCAAGGCATTTCATCATGGACCTGAATATTCCCTGGAAATTGTGATTGGCTGTGAGTGCTGGGAATTCTAGTTGTAATCCCAACTCTCCCTCAGAAAGCTACACTTCTCACCCTTCCTTGGTTAGGAGCTGTGACGGTTAAACAGACTTGAAACTAGATTAAATTTATAGTGTAAATTTGGGATGGTGCTGTGGGTTAAACCACAGAGCCTAGGGCTTGCCGATCAGAAGGTCGGCGGTTCGAATCCCTGCAATGTGGTGAGCTCCCGTTCTTCGGTCCCTGCTCCTGCCAACCTAGCAGTTCGAAAGCACATCAAAGTGCAAGTAGATAAATAGGTACCACTCCAGCAGGAAGGTAAACGGTGTTTCCTTGCGCTGCTCTGGTTCACTAGAAGCCCCTTAGTCATGCTGGCCACACGAACCGGAAGCTGTACATCGGCTCCCTCAGCCAGTAAAGTGAGATGAGTGCCGCAACCCCAGAGTCATCCACGACTGGACCTAATGGTCAGGGGTCCCTTTACCTTTACCTAAACCTTTTGGGGGCTTGAGCCTTATTGAGCCAGGGTCAACCCTCTGGAGGCTTCGTGCCAAAGTGGGCTAAAATGTAAAAGGGAGTGTGGCCAATTTATTATTATTTTTATTATAAAATATACTTTTTGGGATGAGGGCATACACTGGAGACTTTCTGAAATGATTCCTAAGGCTGAAATCCTGTACACTCTTACCTTGGAGTAAGTTCCATTAAATTTAATAGAACTTCCTTTTGAGTAGACAGGGTTAGAAATGCAGAATTTCTGCACTGGAAAAAAACCCCCACACGTTGTTTAATTATTGTACTTCAATCGCATAAGGTGTGAAGGGGTGGGGGTGTTATCCAACATGGCAACTTGGTGCCCGCTTACATCTGTTGATGGCTCCAGGAACAGCTTTCTTCACTAAGGTAGCAGGGTACAGAATCTCACCGTGGGCCTTGCATGGATGAAGTGTGACATAAGGGGGAAAGGGAGTGGTGAGCTTGGGGACATGAGTCATGATGATTCACATGCATGCATTCCTGGTGCCCTTTGAGTCACAAATGAGCCAGCTCCCATGTTATCACTCTGCACCCATAAAGAGATGTTCCCATGGGACTTGCAGGCAGCCTTCCTTGCACAATGGAGGATGGGTCTGTTGCAAAGAGGCTGCTGCTGCTGCTGCTGCCACGTTAGGAATTTTGAGCCTGAGCAAAGTTTGCCAAGTGGTAGTAACTTCGCATGCTGAGCACATAACCACTTGGTAAGAGGACTACCCTTTCCTGTCTTGGTTTGGAAATCCAGGCGAAATATTGAGATTCTACTCACTGCTCGGCAAGACCATACTGATAACGTGGGTGGCGCTGTGGTCTAAACCACTGATCCTCTTGGGCTTGCTGATCAGAAGGTTGGCGGTTCAAATTATTATGACCGGGTGAGCTCCCGTTGCTCTGTCCCAGCTCCTGCCAACCTAGCAGTTCGAAAGCACGCCAGTGCAAGTAGATAAATAAGTACCACTGCGGCGGGAAGGTAAATGGCATTTCCATGCACTCTGGTTTCTGTCACGGTGTTCCATTGCAGCAGAAGCGATTTAGTCATGCTGGCCACATGACCCGGAAAGCTGTCTGCAGACAAATGCCGGCTCCCCCGGCCTGAAAGCGAGATGAGTGCTGCAACCCCATAGTCGCCTTTGACTGGACTTAACTGTCCAGGGGTCCTTTACCTTACCTTTACTGATGACCAGCTTTACCTAGTCATTGAGATGCATGCTGTGATAATCATGGCAAGGAGTTGTCTATAGTCAACTCATTTTTAGACTCTGTTATGGGACAACCTGAACATTCAAGGGAGATGTGTGGTCAGAAACGAGCTTTTGAAAACCTAACCCAGATGTCTGGGCAGCTATGAGCATGTGAAGAATGCCTAACAGGAACCTAAAGTTTATAGCACTAGAGTTCAAGAAACACTTTCCGCACAGTCGCTTGACCACAACTCAGCATGTCTTTAAATAGAGTTACGGCTGGCATTGTTGGACTGAATATTGTTACTGCTTTGCTGCCTATGCAGAAATAAAAGTTTGGGCTCCTAGTATTTATACTAGGCCTCGTGAAGTCAGAGGCTTCATACTGCCCGCCAAGAGCAAACACTGATGTTCTACGCTCCTATTCTCTTCTGCATTGTAAAGTAATTTGAGGACAGGGTGTCCCTCATGTAGGCTAATTTACTAAACCAGGCCCAATCCCAGTTCAAGCATTGCTCTCTTAAGGGCCTGCTCTCCTAAGGGCTGTCTGTTCCCTTATATTGCCATACCCTCCAACATTTCTCTGATGAAAACAGGGACTTCCTAAAGAAAACTGGGACATTCCAGGAACCTGTACAGCTTCTATAAATCCGGGGACTGTACCTGGAAAACAGGGACACTTGGAGGGTCTGTATTTCTTCAGGGAAAGATCTCCTTTCCTATGGGCTCAGATGCCCAGCTCGTTTCCACCAGAGGCTATGCATTCAGTATCATGAGCCCAATGTTGTGGAACTCGCTCCCAGTTGATATTCGACAGACTCTCTCCATGTAAAACTTTTCAAAGAACTTTCAGGCGGCATATTAAGGAAGTTTTCTGTTGTTACGATTCATTTTAATTGATCTTATCCATTGTGTGCGTTTAAATTTTTGTGTGTGTACACTGCTTAGAAGCTTCAGAAATTAAGAGGTTCATAAATAGCTTAAATAAATAAAACCAGACCATCACAGAGTCCGTATATTGGGTAGCCTGTGCTGGCAAACACCAAATACTTGTTACATCCCCACAAAATAATGCTGGAAGAATGCTGGAGAGGGAAGAACAAGAGAATCCCTATTAGAAGTTCTGGCCTTCAGAAGAACTTGTGCATTCCACTTGCAAGGTCTGTACAGTCACACCTTTCCCATTTGATGGATGTGTTGACTGTGATTGTCCAGATATAGTCAGGAAGAACAAGCACACGTCCATTATTGATGCATCTGTGCCTTTGGTTAATAAAAACCCAGAATTCAGGAGCTGAGGCTGCGAGGAAGTATCAAGATCTTGTCATCAATATTAAGCAAGTGTATCAGCTGGAGAGCGTATGAGTCACCCCATCATAATCTTGATAAATGGCTTGATCCCGAAAGCGTTGAAAAGGTAGCGTCGACCGTATGAAACTCCCCAAAAGATGAATCAGTCATGTCCTCGAAGCTGTCACTTGAACACCGGCAGAAATATCCAGAAGATCTTGAACATCGCCGATGCCGGAGCCTATGTGTGTTTTTCATGCCTCCCCCACAAAACATTCTTGCACCCGAATGTAGAATTTGTACCAAGGGGACATCTATGTCATGTTCTGTGAGGCAGATATTATTGTATAAACCGCTTTGGAAAAGTACCGTTGGAAAAGTGGAGTGCAAATATTAAATCAAAAGTAAACTCAACATTCAAATTAATTGTATCTTTAGGCACTTGTCCTTCTTCACACAAGCCTGGTTGTGGAAAATGATAGCTTTTTAAAGAATTTGCAACGTATTTTTTGTTTTATTTTGTAAGGATGATTGAAGACATGAAAGGAGATATGTGTTATTTTGTTATTGTGCTTAGCTCATGGAGCACAATTTGGGAACCCATGTTCTAAAACATAGGCACCAACCCTTTGGGGCTGAGGACGCCTCAGTCCCCCTGAAGTATGTAGGGACATGCCTGAGCCCCCACCCCCAATCTTGGGGAACTGGGCCAGGGTGCCGGAGGGCCCTGCCAGGCCTTGCGGCCTTCTCCCAATGCACGTGATGTCACACGTGTGTGTTGCACATGTGATGTCACACACACATGATGAGCTCCCCCCCCCCAATGTTGGGTGGAACTTGACACCTCTGTTCTATAGGAATCATAGTTCAGAAGCAGAGCATATAGCTTACACGCAGAAGGTTGCTTGATACAATCTCTGGTATCTCTGCTTTCCTCCACCCCAAAGATACCAGAGGATATGGGAAACCTCTGCCTAAGACCATAGAGTGCTGCTGCCAAAGGAGACCACACAGGCTAGATGGAAAAATAATTTGACATGCTACTACAGGCAGCTTTCTGTATTCCAGCTTTCTCAAGGTCTCATATGCTATGTTAGGGGTGTTTATTTAGGGTTCAGGGCCTTCTCGGTAGTGGCACCTGCCCTGTGGAACGCCCTCCCACCAGATGTCAAATAGAACAACAACTACCAGACTTTTAGAAGACATCTGAAGGCAGCCCTATTTAGGGAAGCTTTTAATGTTTAATAGGTTATTGTATTTTAATATTCTGTTGGAAGCCGTCCAGAGTGGCTGGGGAAACCCAGCCACATGCGCGGGGTATTATTATTATTATTAATAATAATTCCCCAGTGATGGTGAACACATCATGTTCCTTGTGCACATCTGTTTAAATCGGGGTGAGGAATCTGTGGACTTCCAGAGATCATTGGACTCCCAGTCCTATCTGCCCCAGCCAGCATGTGCAATGGTCAGGGATGTCGGAAATTGTAGTTCAGCAACATCAGGAGGTCCATGGGTTGCCCAGCCCTGATAAAAATGCACACATTGGAACAGAAAGGCACAATGAAATTGGCATTTCACACACTCCATCTACTACTTTGTTGTTGGCACTGGTCTGTCTCAAGACACTATGGAGTGCATGTCTGGGGATGAAGTCAAATCACTTTTCCCAGTGGTGATGTATGGAAGTGAGAGCTGGACCATAAAGAAGGCTGATTGCCGAAGAATTGATGCTTTTGAATTATGGTGCTGGAGGAGACTCTTGAGAGTCCCATGGACTGCAAGTAGATCAAACCTATCCATTCTTAAGGAAATCAGCCCTGAGTGCTCACTGTAAGGACAGATCCTGAAGCTGAGGCTCCAATACTTTGGCCACCTCATGAGAAGAGAAGACTCCCTGGAAAAGACCCTGATGTTGGGAAAGATGGAGGGCACAAGGAGAAGGGGACAACAGAGGATGAGATGGTTGGACAGAGTTCTCGAAGCTACCAGCATGAGTTTGACCAAACTGTGGAAGGCAGTGGAAGACAGGAATGCCTGGCGTGCTCTGGTCCATGGGGTCACGAAGAGTCGGACACGACTAAACGACTAAACAACAACAAGCAGCACCAAAATAACCTCCCCTGGATGCAAGCCTGGGCAGTGTATATAGAGGTCCTGGGCTGCCCAGACGACAAGACCCGCCCCACTCTCGGCCTTGCTGATGTGGTCGAAAAGGAAAGCAGAGCAATACATTTGGCACCAGGCGCCATCTGATCATCCGGATTTGTGTAGGGTTTACTCCTTAGCCGTTTCTTCTCCCTTGATGTGCAGAACAGCTGGTTACGCAGCCTTCCAAAGAGGACTCCCTCTTCTGGTACAGAAACAATCATCGGATCATCACTAGTCCCTATTTTTCTTTGGAAATGTTTCAGCTGGTGGAACACACTGTGCTATGAAGCCAGGGGGCAGGGAGAGCGTTACAGCTTCTTAACACCTAACGCATTTAGTGAACAGAGGTGACAGTTTGTGGCTGTGATTCATGCCTGACTTACATAGAGAAAAAGTGCCGTGCTCAAATTAACCACCAAATCTGTACAGTATAAAAGGAGAACAGTCGACCTGTTGTCGAGCAATCCAGACAGGCTGCGGAAAGGAGATAGGCCGCAGTCAGAAGAAGGTCCAGATTTACTGGCTTCCTCCGTTGTAACAGGTGAAACTTTTAAGGAGGCTGATAAGATATATTAGTGTTGACCAGGAATGAGGAACCTCAGCCCTGGGGTCCAGATGTGGCCCTCTAATTCTCTCTAGTGATCCTCAGGACTCTCCCTAGGCACACTGCCTCTTCCCTGGCAACACCTCCCACTGGCTCTGCTGCACGCTATCTATGAGTGTTTTTGCCTGGCTGGAATGTGCCCATGAGCTCTGATAATGCCACTTGCTTGTCTAGATCATAGAATCATAGAATCATAGAGTTGGAATAGACCACAAGGGCCATCGAGTCCAACCCCCTGCCAAGCAGGAAACACCATCAGAGCACTCCTGACATATGGTTGTCAAGCCTCTGCTTAAAGACCTCCAAAGAAGGAGACTCCACCACACTCCTTGGCAGCAAATTCCACTGTCGAACAGCTCTGTCGAACAGGTGGAATCTTCTTTCTTGTAGTTTGGATCCATTGCTCCGTGTCTGCTTCTCTGGAGCAGCAGAAAACAACCTTTCTCCCTCCTCTATATGACATCCTTTTATATATTTGAACATGGCTATCATATCACCCCTTAACCTCCTCTTCTCCAGGCTAAACATGCCCAGCTCCCTTAGCCGTTCCTCATAAGGCATCGTTTCCAGGCCTTTGACCATTTTGGTTGCCCTCCTCTGGAAGGTATGTGAGATGAAGGTATGTGAGTGTAGAAACACACAATGGTACAGAATTTCTCCTCCCACTTTTGCCTTGGGCCCTGCCCAGTGGCTGGCATGTGGCCTTGAAGGGTTGTCCAGGAGGAGATGCAGCAAAGTTTCCCCAATCCTGGTCCACCCAGCATGTTGCTCAGGGGTTGCAAAATTCAGTTTTGGTTGGCACAGAATGCGGGTGTGCTAAGTGCAGTGTAGTCACAAACCTGCTTCAGTTTCTGTTGAAGTCCATGTCCAGCAAAACAGCCACTCATGCCAATTGCTTTATAGCCTGATGCTTTCAACAGGTTTGCCTGGGAATGAGGTCAGAGGCAGACCATAGGTTGTCGCCCCCTATCCAGAGAGCAGATGTTGGTCAGAAAGGTTGTTGGCATGGAATTATAAAAAACATTGATGATGATGAGAGGCAGGACTATGATGTTGAAAGCACTTCGGAATTCAGACCGTGGGAAGCCAAAACAAAAATTATTACAATTTGGAAGACAATTGGACTTTTTTCATTTTAGTTTTTTATTTTTATTGGATTTGATTTGATATGTTAATTGGATGTTTTTATTGGAAAATTAATAAACGCTTTAAAAAAAAAAGAAAGGTTGTTGGCATCTGTCTATCTTGGGAGGCAATGAAGGAATGAGCCCTTGGGGGTGAAGTCAAAGTGTTGGAAGTTTGCAGTGCCTGCTGTGGCTGTAGAGACTGACATGGGAGAGACATGTTTTGTTGCAACTGGGGCAGATGAAGGCATCTGGTTGTGCTGCTACAGGTACACCACAGCATAGGCGTTCACCCAAGTTGAAATGTAATCGGTAAGGGTTCGTACAGTTTCAAAAAATGGCAAAACCTGTTCAGTCAGAGACAACAGTGCAGTTGTGGGGGGTATTTTTTTCAGCCCGAAGGAAGCGTTTCCTTCTGGGTGACCTCCCAGGAGCCAGCGGTGGGTGGGGCCAGAGGAAAAAGTGGGTGGAGCAACAGAGGTGACTTTTACCTTTATACAGTAGGCTGGCTTCTACACATGCTCACATCCCTCTCTTCCAGGCCAGCAGTGTGCATTATAACAATTCAAGGGCTCTCCTGGTCCTTGGAGATCATGGGGGGAGGGGAGCTGCCCTTTGCAGGAGGAGGAGACACCCCAGCTTCTTCACTAGCCTGACTCACCTCTGCCTCTTGGCCCTCCTCCTCTCCAGCGTCCGCTTCTGCCTCTGATTCTGGACTGCTCTCTGCCACGGACTCTTCCTGCTCACTAAACCCTGTTGTCTCTTCAGCTTCCGACACCTCCTCCTCCCAATCTTCTCCGTCTTCTCACTCATCATTGTTCCACTACCAATCCCTGGACTCTGAGCCTTCATCTCTTGGGGGTTCCCCAGCTGGTACCTCCCACCATTCCTCTGCGTCCAGCCAGCCCATGACATTGTGTGTGTGTGTCTTGATGTTGGCAAGGATTCTCCCTGCCAAATGAGCCTGGCATTTTATTTCATCAGCTCTACAGCGCCATCCGCAGAACTGATTCAATGTCTATTTTCGCCCTCTTGTCTTTCGGAAAGTTACGCCTACGTGTCTTTTTTTCTTTTGAAGAAATAAAGCGACCCAGCTCTGCTGTTTTTCTTTGGGCTTAAAGAACCTCTGCTCCTTCCAAATACCGTGGCTAATTTTCAGATGCCAGCCATGCCAAATCCTTGATCAAACACAGAGCAGGATTTTGACTTAAAAGAGCACACTTCTCCTGTCTCCCTGATCAGATTAGCGCTTTTGAAGTCCTACAATGGAGGATCCTGGGGAAAGGGGAAATCCTTGCGAGGGTTGATCAGCATTTCTTTTGTGAAAGCAGAGCAAAGGATTGTGTGCAACTTGAATTCTCTTGAGGTTGTGCTTTGGCTTTTAAATAGATGTTAACCTTTTATTTGAAAATCCTTGAGGATCTCATTAATGTCCCGATGCCAGGTGGCCTTCCGTGATAGAAGAGACATTTTGTGTAAACAACAGCTCCTTAAATGAGTTATTGATACAGCTGCTGTCCAATATTTTGCAACAAATGAGCTGTAACCGACATCTTAACATTTGCAGCAGCAATCGCCATGTGTGCTTTGCAGGTGATAGGCTGGACTGTCTATTATTTGGGGGGCTGGGACAGGACAGGACAAGACAGGGCAGAGGACCTCCATGAAGGGTCTTTTGAGGGACATGTGTGCAATGCACTTCATTGTGCATTGTTGCCATATGTGCAACATTCACCCTGTTTTATTACCCTGGTAAGTAAACAGACAGCCACAGTTTCCTGTTACAGGTGTAACAGGAAACTATGGCTTAAAGTAGGGATGGAGATCTGGGGCTCTTCAGATGTTTCTGGACCACAGCTTCCATCATCAATGACCACTGGCCATACTGTCTACAAGCCAACTATGTCTGGAAGACCCCAGCTTCCCATCCCCTTGTTTAAAGAGATGAGGATTTAAGTGCTGAAGCTCCCCACAGAGGGAAAGTCAATGTATGGAGCCCAGTGCTCACTCTCAACTTATTTAGCTGTTAGTTCAAGCTTTCCAGACTTTTCATATTGGTGACACACTTTTTAGACATGCATCATTCTGCGGCACAGTAATTCAGTTTTACTAGCAAACCAGAGGTTGAACTAACCCCTTTCCGGTCCCAGGAGGAGCACAGGAAGCGTTCGTGTGACACACCTACACACTGCAGCCAACACACTAATGTGTCATGATCCACAGTTTGGAAATCTCTGTTATTAAGTCAGTAATGTTATGCCCAAACTGCCCAATGTAAGGGCCAGTTCAGATGTAACAACAATCTATGGTTTAATTGTTATGAGCATGATGAACCATCAGGGTTGCACATTGCCTCCTCCACTCAGGTGGAGAGGTCATTAAAGGAATCCAGTTGTGGTTTGCCACAAACCACTGTTTACTGTTTAGTCTGAATATAGCAACCCTTGATTTATTGTTCTCAAACAAGGATCTGAAACCAGGATCAAGTCATGGTTATGACCAGACTGTTAATGGTTTTTTAATATAAAGAATAGGAAAGCATAAATGTATCAAAACCGGAAAGAAGAAACCTTCGTCTAGTCCCAGAAGGAGGCCTGTCCACCTACCTGTTTCAGTTGCTATGGAATGACTCATCTCTCATCATCATCATGCTTAACTTTTTCCAAGCGGCCATCCGCTTTCCGTATATTAAGATTTCTTTCCATTAAAACCACGAAGCAAATTTTTGCTTGGCAAAATACCCAGGGAATGGAATTTTAGTGTCTGCAGCAAAAAAATTTGCTAGGCTCCAGGCCTAGCAGATTTTTTTGCCAAGTTCAGGGGTGAGAGGTAAGGCATCTCAGCACGGGGGGGGGGGGGGGGAGACAAAGAGCCAGTGACCTGTTGGCTTGCCCTGTCTTGCTGTCTAGGTTCTAACTGCTTATGGGCGACTTCAACACCGCTCTTCTCCCTTCCTTGCTTTTAAAGTGGACTTGAGCCAGACAACCCTTCAAATAGCGAAAATCCTCTGTAAAGTAGGACACTCTCATCCTACACTCTAAAGTTACGCATGCTGGCTTGTCCTCAGGGGAATTGTATTCCCATGAAGTTGGAGGGCATCAGAATGGGGAAGTCTGGTCTACAGGCTGTCACAAAGCATTTCCTTAAAAGTGGCTGTTCTTCTCAAGTGTTGTTTTTTTTTAATGTCCCTACTATGTTGTGTCCAGGTGCATGGGTGCAGTCAGGATTTATTTTGGGTGGGCAGGCTTCATGTATTTTATACTGTATTTTAATATTTTAATATTTTGTTGAAAGCCGCCCAGAGTGGCTGGGGAAGCCCAGCCAGATGGGCGGGGTAATAATAATAATAATAATAATAATAATAATAATGTGGGGGAGAACCTCAGTTAGTTAAGTATTTTTATTGATTTACTTGGTGGGGGAGGGGCAGCCCCCCCCAGCTATGCCTATGTCCACATGAAATTTTCAGAAATCTGTACAAAGCCCTTAAACCTCTCTCTCCTCTGGACAAAATAAATTGCTACAGAAGAAAGGATGGGGGGGGGGACAAAACAAAACACCAAATACACACAAGAGAGGTTGCCATTTCAAATGTGTTAAAAAAGCATCATTTTTATGCTCTAAGGAACATGACAGATGCTAACACATGAACACGAGAGGCGGGGAATAGACAGGCGTTAACTTATCTACTGAACATAAATAGATTTTATTTTTCTTGGCTTTATAACAATAATATGAAAGTGTTGCTTGACGCGTTGGTGCCACTTGTGTCTGCGAGGGATCGAAAATAGATGGACGGGCCTAAAGGGTTTTGTTGTGAAGCAATGAGACAGCCCCGTGATCTGTGTCAGTTGTTCATATATTAAAAGGTTTGCTTGTTTCTCTTTCCAAGATGAGGCTGATATCCCGTAATTACTTCAGGGGCATGTGAACCTGTCAGAAACCATCAGCGTTGCTCAGATCTTCTGGGGCAAAAAATGAAATGTTATTTCTGGCTTTCTCAGAACACAATGAAAGGACGGGAATAGTTTGTTCTGTGCCAGTGGCTCGTAAACTGTGTTCGGAAGGTGAACCCTGGGGTTTTCCTAGGATCTTAGCAAGGATTCTCAATGAGACAATTACTAATGGCGGACCTTGGAAGACAGCTTGCCCAATATTGCAAATGTTCACCAGGTGTTACTAACCTCAAAATTGGATTGCTTAAAGATGCTCTATATGGGGTCTCCCTTGGGCTTACTCCAGAAGCAATGGTGGTACTTTCTCTAATTTTATGTTATGTCATGCTCCCCATGGCAGCCATTTTGTGCCAAGCCATGCCCCCATGGTAGCCATTTTGTAACTGGCACCCTCTGCACCCTCTCAAAATTCAAAATGGGCCCCCAGTCCAAGAAGGTTGGTGACCCCTGGCTTCCAGACTGAAATGTGACAATATCATCATCATCATCATTAAAATTTCTATACTATTCCTTAAGAGAGGACCTTTTCTGTGTTGGCTTCCCAATTGTGAAATGCTCTCCCCAGAGAGGCTCACTGGTGCCATCATTATGTCTTTAGGTGCCAGGCAAAAACATTCCCCTTACCCAGGCCTATAGCTATTAAATAATCTGTGGAAGTTATTATGATGACTATTTTAGTATTAGGCTGTCTGTCAGTAAGCTTTTTATTATGTTTAAGCACTGATGTTCTGTGATGTGTTTTTAATGTTATACACTGCCCTGGGATCTTTTGATAAAGGGCAGTATATAAGTTGAAATAATAATAATAATAATAATAATAATAATAATAATAATAATAAACAAATGGAGGATCACAGGGCAGTTTACAATATAAAAGCACAAAAATACATAACATTGTAATGCACAAAAACAATATGGCCAGTTTTAAAGGTCATATAATGTTTATTTTTATTTTATTAATTTTTATTAGTTTTTATTAAGTATTACAAGAAAATAAAAAGAAAAAAGAAATAGAAACAGAAATCAATACATAACACTGTAAACACAGTTATCTATGTATTTTCCAAAATGCAGACTAGAAAAGAAGAAAGACGAAAGATAAAAGAAAAGAAAAAAGAGAAAAGAGAAAAAATACTTTTCATAATCAATAATACTAAATTCATACTTCAAACATTACAATATATAAATCCTAGTTAAAATATTATAAAAGACTTCCACCACATTCACCACACGTCTCTAAGTTATCTAGTTCACCTTTACATCTGTTCTTCAGTCACTTCCTTTCCTTAAGTTCTTTCATAGTCCATCAAATCTTTGTGTTCTCGATATTCTTCACAAGGTTAGTCTAAGCACAGAAACAATGGGAATGCTTAAATGAATATTTACACAAGCAGGGCTCAAACAGGATAGTTTGGTTGTACTTAGGCCATATAATGTTTAATTAGCCAAAAGCCTGGGAGATGGTGAATATTTTCTCCTGGCACCTAAAGATATGCAGTGAAGGCACCAGGCAAGTCTCCCTGGGGAGAGCATTCCACAAACAGGGAGCCTCTGCAGAAAAGGCCCGTTCTCCTGTTGCCATCTTCCAGACCTCTGGCAGAGAAAGCGCATGAAGTAGGTTCTCAGGTGCTGATCTCAGGATCCAGGTCGGTTCATATGGGAAGAGGCGGTCCTTGAGGTATTGTGGTCCAATTAATGGTATTAATGATCCCGTCTATGCATATGTGAACATCTCTGAAATAAACCATAAGCATTATTATGTTGTAGAAAGAAGGCCCAGGCCCGGGTACATATAACATAAAAGAAGTCTTGCCTACGCCTATTCGGTCATGCTTCCTGTCCAAAGTACCACGGTTGCTGCCATCCCATTCTGTGAGTATGATTTTCTTTACTGACCAAGAATTAATTCAGTTATAAAATGCAAACTTCAGAATACAAAATGGATTCAGCATGTAATCTCACAGCATCTTAACACAAATTGTTTTAATAGCTTACCTTGTCGAAATTACGGTGAATAGAAAAAATATATATTCTAAAATGATAATGACTTGCCAGACCTGTTTTGATATAAACAGAGGATTTGCCATGAAGAAAACCCCACCTTAAAATAATGAATTTGCCCTTTTTATCTCCTCCCTTAACAGAGTACATTATATTTTCCAATCATTATTGCCTCTTTCATATTCCAGCTTGATTACAATTAGTGCGCCAATTGTGTTTATGCTTGCACTCCATCATCAAATCAAAAATAATATTGCCAACCAATAATCAGAACAGGTCATATACAAACAATTACACTTTTAAAAAGCATATCAGGATAGAACATAGACATGTTGTCAAAACCTAAATCGCTAATTAGTATATACTTCTATGCAACTTTGGAATAAAATGAGGTGTTACATTTCTCTTTGCTTAAAGAAACCTTGAGTTCTGGCTTGTGAGTTGAAAATATGCTCATCTAAAGAGTTAGAGCTTGGCGCCTTGTATTAACCATTTGTCTTTGCCAAGCTCAGAAGAAACAGCTTGAGACTTTTCAGCTATATAGCTGCAAATAAAACGTTTTAAGTGTGTTTTAAGTGCAATATACAAGTTGACACTAGATGGCGATGGTGAGCCTTATGGAAAATTCAACGCATTTTTTTTTTAAAAAAAAGCATTTTCAGAACGGTTTTTATATGTGTGTAGATTCCACCTCTATTCTCTGAGCAGAAATGAAAGTTGTATCTGGACTGGATAGGTGGGGATTCAGGTGTCTCAGCTGCCCCAACACTTGTTTTGAGTCAGTTTACCATTGCTTGTGCCTATTAGGCAGGGAGATCTGTTGTACCACATTTTGTATTACCTGGCTCAGAAATTTGAAATGTGAGAACTCATAAAGCTCTCGCTCAACCATGAGGCAAGCGTTACATCCCTAAAAGTTTTTCTCTGCCTCAGATTTTCACCTGAACCAGAGAAGAATGTCAAATTCTCACCCCGTTTGCTTCTGAACCCATTTTCACTGCCCCCATATGTCCACTTACCTCTCTTGCTGTTCCAGGGATAGCAGTGTTGGGAGGAAGGGGTGGAAAGTATTTCTCTTTCTCTCCTCCTCCTCTTCTTCTGCTTTCTTTCTCTCCAACATCAGGCATGTTGCTACCACCGTTAGCCTGATGCCAGGGGCCCTGGGAAATGCAGTTTCCCCAGTGTTCCTCACATTTGTAAGCAGTTGTGTGGGAGGGAAAGGAGATAGTTTTGGAGGTATGGGGGGGGTGAGCAGGTGAGCAGATGATAAAGACGAAGGAGGGAATTTGCTCCTCCTAAGGAGGAGGGTGGGTGAAGGCTTAAGAGGACCCCTTTGCGCTCTTGGGTGATTACTTGGGTTCAGAATAAACTGAGCTATTTTTCAAAGCGTGAGAGGGAATATTTCAGCATGGTTCCTCCTCCCAGTCCTCTTCTCAGCCTAATGTGAGGTATCTATCACTAGCTCAGAGAGGGGGAGAGAGAGAGAGAGAGAGAGAGAGAGAGAGAAACACACACACACACACACACACAGTGCACACATATTATGAAGACATGGGATTTAAAAATAGGTTAGCGGAGAATGGGTTAAAAATAAAATACAGGCTTAAAATGGTAACCAAAAACGTTATCGCTTAGTTAACACGCTGTGCATGCTGGCTCCAGTGTTTTACTTTATAGAAGCCTACCTCGGTTTAAGGGACGCGGGTGGCGCTGTGGTCTAAACCAGAGAGCCTAGGACTTGCCAATCAGAAGGTCGGCGGTTCGAATCCCTGCGACAGGGTGAGATCCCTTTGTTCGGTCCCTGGTCCTGCAAACCTAGCAGTTCAAAAGCACATCAAAGTGCAAGTAGATAAATAGGTACCACTCCGGTGGGAAGGTAAATGGCGTTTCTGTGCGCTGCTCTGCGCTGTTTTGGCTTAGTCATGCTGGCCACACGACCTGGAAGCTGTCTGCGGACAAACGCCGGCTCCCTCAGACAATAAAGTGAGATGAGCGCCGCAACCCCAGAGTTGTCTGCGACTGGACCTAACGGTCAGGGCTCCCTTTACCTTTACCTTTTACCTTGGTCTAATCTAATAATTGCCTTGTTTCTTACTCTTTCCATACAGAAAGTTCCTGGCCCAGGGAGTTACTGGCCTACAAACCAGTCTCCAAAACAACCAAGAACCATTGAGAGTCTGGGAAGGGAGCACACTATCTTCTTCAGCAATACTCCAGAGCTTTAGAAAACGAGTGGTGCAGTACACGAAATTCAGGGGCACTGATTCTGAAAGACCGCTCCTTCTTCTACCTCATCCATATCCCATTCCTCACCAGGACCAATCGGCCCACTTTTATTCCTTTGGCTTTCAGTGGGCCACAGTGCCAACACCATGATGCGATTTTGTGCACTGGGTTCCCTGCCTCCATTTCCTCCCTGGCCCTTTCCTCGCATCCTAAGATTCTTCATTGTTCCTGCTGTTTGACGTGGCTCAGTCGTGTTCCTCCACCACTCAGTATGCTTCTTTCTGTTAGCAAGGAAACTGAGCGATGGGAATAAATCCTGACCCCAGAGTCCTTGTGAGCTGCTGGTTGGGCTGAAGCCAGGTTCCTCTGCTGGCTCGAGGGCACCAATTCTCCTGCACTCCTCTCTGGATTCGGTAGAGCTTAACCCGAACTAGATACAAAGAGCGTTTGATCAAGGACAGCCTCTGCTGAATGCAAGATCTGCAGTGGAAAGAAGAAGAAAAAAGAACACAGATTGCTGAACGATTTGAGGGGGCTCAGCCGTCACAGCCTTTCCCTGAGGTAGAAGGAAAAAAGACTCTGTTGCTGATCTTTTTATATTCCACAGATTTCTGTGTCCTCACCCCACCCCACCCCACGTATTTCCAGTCAGTCAGAGCATTGTCTACCACTCAGAAGCATCCCCACCCCCAGTAATGGTACTGAATTCAGTGGAGCCACTCTGGAATAAATGGCTTTCGGAAATTGGTGCTGATCTCTTTGCAAGCTTTTAAAGGGTGGTGTAGCCCCCCCCCCTATTGGATCCATCTGCTAGCAGAACAAACTTCCACTCACGTAGTAGGGTTTCAATTTCTTCTACTCATCCTTGAGGTCCTTGAGGTCCCATGGGTGGGGGGCTAGAGGGTGGGATTGCTGGAACCGTGTGGACATCAGGAGATGCAGTAGGGAAGAATTGGTGGAAATTCTACCCCCCTCCCTTTCCCCCAACAGGAACCACTGCTGAATCTCATTCCTTTCTGCAAACAGAGAAAGCCTTGTAGTAATCATACAATTTTTGTCAACAAAATATTGGAAAGGGTGTGTGTGTGCTATAATGGAGGACTGGCTTACAAAGCAGTCCTAAGTTTATTCAGAAGAAGGGAAGTCCTGCAGAGTTTAATGGAGCTTCTTGTTTTATTTTTCAATGTTTATATATTACTTACTTTAAAAAAAATCTGAGGGGTTTACCTAAAATGGTGTAAAATATTCATTTAAAAGCATGATAATGACATACGTTAAAAACAAGACAGAATTAAATTATAAAATGCATTCTTATAATTAAAAAAAGAAAAGAATGCCATACTATACACACAGGGATTAAGGCGAAAGTGCAGGCTTTTATTACACTTGTCCTGCTTTCACAGGACTTCATATGAGATTCTCAGTACGCAGTGACTAGTTTAAGACCTGCATGGCTTTAGATCTGGGATGGGGGGCCTTCCAGATCACCCAGCCAGCATGGCCAATAGTTTGGTCGGGAATTATGGACATATTAGCTTGTAAGTGAATTTAGCATGGCAGCATAAGCAAAACGTGGCATGTTATGCTTGCAAATAAAATAATATTATTTATTTTTTAAAAATAATATTTATTAAAAGTTTCAGAATTACAGAAAAGAAGAAAAAATAGAAAACAACACTACAATACATAAAAAAGAAGAAAAAAGAAGGAAAAAAAAGCATAAAAACCAATACAACAATACAGCAAAAAAAAACAAACCACAAATCCCATATTACGTATCTTTAACTTCCATTTGCTTGTTTCATTGACCTCCTCACACCTCCCTTTTTGTATTCTAGTTTAATTAGTTATTTCAGCAAATTCTTTCCATCTTTCTCAATTTTTATTGAATAATTTATCTTAACAATTTAACCTATTAATTAACTCAACAAATCCTTTCCATCTTTCCCCATATTCTGTTATTCAAATTGCCTTGATTTATTTAACCTTATCTTACCGTAAAATACCTTCAAGCTTAAAACTTAATACTCAATTATACATGACTCCTTATATCATTTCTACTAAAACCATATAGTTTCATTCCAACATTTTCCCTAATATTCATTAATTTTAGGCTAATTCCCTAAATAAAAAATTTCCTTTATAAATTTTCTTCCAATCTTCATCCAACGTCTCTTCTTCCTGGTCTCGGGTCATGTCAGTCCTTACTGTCCATTCCATCTAGTCCATCAACCTGGTAATCTTATGTCCGAGGCTCTTAAGTCTCTTCCATGTCCCTTCTGCAGATCTTCTTCTTCTTGTTTATACCTGCACTTTTCCTTGTCTTTTGTTGGTCTCTTTCTTAATTTCTTTCCTTTCTCATTGAGGAGTAGGTCTCTGGGAGGTTCCAGCCCAAAATTATCTCCATCTCCCTTCATCAAACCAGCCCATTCCCCACAGTCCCACTCCCCACAGTCATCAATGTAATCCAAAACGATTTAAGAGCATATTTCAAAGTCCCTCCGAAGTTAAGAACCTCCTCAGCTCCAGACTCCCCCTGGCCCACTCCAACTTCAATCTTCAAAAACAGCGGGGCCTCGGATCTCTCCATTTGTATTATTTGAGGTGCAACCGCAACCTCCTCCATTATCTTCTGCACTTGCCCAATCAATACAGGTTCCTGAGTTGGTCCCTGAATGGTTTCTGTATCAATATTCCCTGTTTGTCCACAGTTATTGACCACAACAGTCATCAAATCCGTTTTCTCATTCATCAGATCCATCTTCTCATGCATCTGTTCCAACAAAGCACTTGTCTTGCATAAAGCAAGCACCAAAACTTCCTCCCAGCTCATTTTTATTCAAGGTCAAAAGGACTGGTCCCACGATCTTAATCTCACAGCTGTAGAGTCCTCAAGTAGACTGCAGCAACAATTTAACAAGCTCCCTCTAGAGGAGACAATTTCTATTTGTATCCATCTTTTTAAGGCAAGTCCAACAAAGGAAAATTACTTTCATTTTTCAGATATTTTGTTTCTTTAGAATGCAAAAGGCAACATTGGAATCAGTTTATTTCTCTTCTTTAGCTATCTGTCAAAGTATTCCATTCACAGTCAGTGAACCTCTCCAACAATTTCTGTCTCTGACACCCCGTTCCCAGGTTAGAGACGGTGGAAACTTATCTTTCTTCACTCCCTCTCCTGCAGGCTTAAACAAAGTCCCCCCCCCCTTTTCTCCTGCTTCCAAGGGGTTTTTAGTGATTATAAATGAAGGAAATTTAAACTTTTTTAACGACTTTCCAGGCTTTAGCTTACAAGGTTTTTGCTTCAGTCTATATACAAAAAGCGGAAGGCGGACTTCCTGTTTTGAACCTTCCCGCTTCGGTGCCAAATTAGGATATTTCTTGATCCAATTTTCCGTTTCTACTCACGGGTACTTGTTTTAAATCCAATTGTCCACAGGAAAAAGTCAGTGCTCTCCGGCAATGGCTGTGCGGCTTCACTCCGTGAAAGTAGCAATCAGTTCGCAGCACCGCGCCGCTCGCCCCACTTCACTCCGGAACCCCGAAATGGGGTTCCCCCTGAGTAGGGGAGGCGCTCCTGGTGCCCTGCCGAACCCCACGTTCCCAGGCTTCCTCCGCCTGGGATTTCTAGCGGGTCCCCACCTTCGCCGCGGCGGGAAGACCCAGTTTCCACGGAGCCAGTTCCTCCGGTCGGAGGAACTCCGCCATTCGCCGATGGCGCTAACCCGGAAGTCACTGCAAATAGCATCACTTTATTACAGATGCCTGTGGGACGGTTTGACCTCCTTTGTAAATATGTTTCTGGGGTTTTGATTCATTTTGTATTGGATATATGACTAAGCTGATGATAAATGTCCGATAAGTACTGTCAGTGATCTCCTGTACTGCTGTGTGTGGCTGGTGCTTGCAGCATTTTAGTTTAAGGGCAGGTGGGAATTATAAATCTATGAGAAGTAAACTTCAGTGCCCATAATTCTGTGACGGGGGAAATGTACTTTAAAGGTATAGTGTTATTAAACAAAGCGTTGGTCTTTGTTTTGTCTTGAAAGAACACAGTTCATTTTTCAAATACACTCACTCTATATTTTTATTTTATCTAAACCTATTATTATATAGAAATTAACAAAGGAATGTTAAAAAAGCAAATAAGTGGATGACCTAATTTCAATCAGTGTGGTCTTTTACATATACTCATAGGATTCGGGACAGTAAATTGCTCTCGAAACACATTTCTGTCCAATTCTGTCCTTTAATGGAGAGCTTCAGTCAGCGAGGAAATTCAGTGAGAAGGAAATGACTAGCTGATAAATGAACCAAAATCTCTAAGGATTATTGATCATTATCCAAGGAACTCTGGAGAACAGGCCTTTCAAAATAAGGGAACAGTTGTTTAGTGCTCCTTACATACCCTCCAACATTTCTCTGATGAAATCCCATTCCATAATGATAATTTTACTATTTACCCCACACATCTTACTGGGTTGCCCCAGCCACTCTGGGCTGCTTCCAACATATATAAAAACATAATAAAACATTAAACATTTTTTAAAACAACCTTCCCCATATAGGATTGACTTCAGATGGCTCGGGGGTTGGATAACTCCACACCCTCCAACATTTCTCCAGTGAAAACAGAGACAACCTACCATACTTTCCATCATTTCTCTGATGAAAATGGGGGTGTCCTAAGGAAAAGCGGGACATTCCAGGATCAAATCAGAAACCAGGGTGACTTCTCTAAATCAGGGACATCCCTGGAAAATAGAGACACTTCGAGGGTCTGTCCTTATAACTTTTTTTTTATTGCGAGTCTACTTAATCTCAACTGCACGGTCTTTCCAGAAGTGCTCTTAAATTTCATTAACTTGAAAGCAAGCATCAAAGTTCAGCAAGTCACTGCTAGTTGATCTCATCAGCACTTATGTGGTGTTAATTTCGAGTGTTAATATGCACATAGGGACCTGATGATTTGGCCACGTAGGCCCCCATCTACACTGTACATTTAAAGCAATATTGTACTGCTTTAAACATTCATGGCTTCCCCAGAGCATCCTGGGAACTAGTTTGTTGAGGGTGCTGAGATTTGTTAGGAGACTCCTCCCCTACTCCCAAGATCTAAAACAGGGGTCCTCAAACTTTTTCAGCAGGGGGCTGGTCCACTGTCCCTCAGACCTTGTGGGAGCCCAGAATATATTTTTGAAGAAAAAATAATGAACGAATTCCTGTGTCCCACAAATAACCCAGAGATGCATTTTAAATAAAAGGACACATTCTACTCATGTAAAAACACGCTGATTCCCGGACCATCCACGGGCCGGATTGAGAAGGCAATTGGGCCGCATCCAGCCCCCTGGCATTAGTTTGCCTACCCATGATCTAAAACGTCCAGTGTTATTCTGACTGCAGCTTCTCATCCACTCATTTGGGTACTGCCGTTTGCAGTGCTGGAACTGTCCTGGGAAAAATAAACATGGAACAAATACGTAGTTACTCTTCTTCTGTAACTAGCCAAGCTAGCTTTAGACACCACAGTGAAATTGCTATTCTGTGGTCTATAGCATTTTGGACTGAGCTTTGCTAAATATTTGTTGCAGCTCCGATGGATGGTCATCTGTCGTGGATGCTTTATTTGAGATTATTGCATTTGCAGGGGTTAGACTAGATGTCCCTTGGGATCCCTTCCAGCTCTACAGTTCTATGACTCTGTGATCCAGAGCACATATGCAACACCTCTAGAGACCAAGGATGGGCAAATATGTGCATTTGGGTTTCTCTCGGTTTCTCAATTTTCCAGCCTTAAATTCAGTTCTCCACATTGAAAGGACCTATATTTCATTATTGCGCTTACAAAGTGGATGGCACAGTGAGTCACATGAAGATGCTTCTCATTAGTGTTGATTGAAGAGCAACTTAACAAGTCAAATGCAAGAGCTCTAGAGGAAAATAAACAGAAGCTTTACCCTACAATGCCAACCATTGTGCATTGTGGGTCATATAACCTTGCTGTTCGTGGTAAGACCAGTACCACAGGTAACATGACACTTTTGCAGCTTCATGTTGAGGCAGGAGATGAAATATTAAGCATTTAGAAACTGGGGGAGTGCAATGCTAAGCACACTTTTGCAAGAATGCAGAATGAGCTAATACAGTTGCATGGCCAGATTTTGAGGGGAAATGTTATGAAGGCTAATGCTTCCATAATATTCTCAGTTTTAGCAGATGCAACAGCAGATATCTCTGACACAGAACAATTGTCTCTAGGTGGAAGATTTCTGGAAGAAAGTGATGGGAAGGCCTCTGTACATGAGGGATTCCTTGGGTTCGTTTCAGTCTCAGACCAAATGGCCTACACAATCTCATCTGCTTGCTCTGATTCTGATTTAGATCTCAGTAAGTTAGAATACAGGTTGTTCCATCATGGCAGGAAAAGAAGGTAGCAATCAAGCACAAATAAGGGCAATTTCTCTTCAGGTAGCCTTTGTTCACTGCCCATCCCACTGCTAATCTCACTGTAAATGATTTGTAAGTGATGTGTATAATACAGCTGACACAATTAAAGGTATCATAAAAATTTTCCATGACAGCATCTGAAGATAACATCAAATACTCAATGTACCAGTGTCGTGTAAAACACGGTGGACCCAGAAACACAAGGTTATCCATGCGTTTGCAGAAAGTTACCAAAGTATTTTCTTGCAACTCGAGCAACCGTCAAAGCAATGCCGAGAAACGATAACTTTTATATCAGCTGCGTGCATCGATGACACTAACTTTTATTGTTTTGTCTTGTGAGCATATTCTTCAGTGCTGGAGCCAGTCACGCAAGCTCTGCAATCTGTGAAGTTATATGCAATGGAAATGAAAGCACATATACAATAGTTGTTGGGAATTATTATTATTATTTGTTTATAAATTAATAATAATAATAATAATAATAATAATAATAATAATTTTTATTTATACCCCGCCCTCCCCAGCCAAGGCCGGGCTCAGAGTGGCTTACAAGCAATAATAAAAACAAGTTGAATGATTACAACTTAAAAACAAAATTAAAATACAACATTAAAATATTGAAACATTAAAATATTAAAATGTAGCCTCATTGCAGGAGGAGAAGGAAAGGAAAAAAGAAAGAGAGGGAGGGAATCAAATTGGCTCCAAGCCAAAGGCCAGGCGGAACAACTCTGTCTTACAGGCCCTGCGGAAAGAAATCAGATCCTGCAGGGCCCTGGTCTCATGTGACAGAGAGTTCCACCAGGCCGGAGCCAGTGTTGAAAAGGCCCTGGCTCTGGTTGAAGCCAATCTAACTTCCTTAGGGCCCGAGACCACTAGGGTGTTGCTATTTATGGACCTTGAGGCTCTCCGTGGGGCATACCGGGAGAGGCGGTCCCGTAGGTACGAGGGTCCTAGGCTGTGAAGGGCTTTAAAGGTCAAAAGCAGCACCTTAAATCTGACCCTGTACTCTACCGTGAGCCAGTGCAGTTTGAAAAGCACTGGGTGAATATGCTCCCGTGGCAGAGACCCCGTGAGGAGCCTCGCTGCAGCATTCTGCACCCTCTGGAGTTTCTGGGTCAGCTTCAAGGGCAACCCCGCGTAGAGCAAATTACAGTAGTCAAGCCTGGAGATGACCGTCGCATGGATCACTGTGGCCAGGTCGGGGCGGGAAATGTAAGGGACCAACTGCTTTATGCGGCGACGGTGGAAAAATGTTGCCTTGGCTGTTGCTGTAACTTGTGTCTCCATGGAAAGGGAGGCGTCAAGGATTACACCCAAACTCTTAACGGAAGGCAATGGCACTAATTGGGCCCCCGCAAGAGAAGGGAGTTGGTCCCTCATCCCCATGCCATCCTGACCCAGCCATAGGACCTCTGTCTTCGAAGGATTTAGTTTCAATCGGCTCCCACGAAACCATCCAGCCACAGCTTCCTTTTTTTTTTTTTTATAGAATATTTATTCCAATTTTAAGATTACAGAAAAAGAAAAAAGTAAAAAAAGAAAAACAAATCACATACATCCTACAAAAGAACACACAGTACAAAGAAAAATACAAAAGAGAAAAAATCACAATAAAAAAGTAACAAAAAATCAAATTAAACCATTAGAACCGTTTTCCCATTTACTTATTTCCGTGACTTCCTCTCACTTCTCTGCTTTGTATTCTAATTTGAATCGTATCTCCAGCAAATCCTTCTAACCTTCTTTTCATTTACTTATTTTAACATTCGAAAGTATTTAATTCTCCTCTATCTTTATTTTACACTTCATATTTACTTATTCCATTATACTCTGTCTGCCAATACGGTCTAATATTCTTCTCCAACCTTTTCTAACATTCTTTTATATTACAGTATTTCTGAAGATATATTTTAAATTTAAATTTTTTCCAATCTTCTTCCATCGACCCTCACAGCTTCCAAGCATCTGGTCAGTGTGTTCGGGGCCGAGTCGGTGTGGCCATATGGAACAACACAGGGAAGCTAGTGAAGACACTAGGCACAGAGGAAACCTAACTCCCAAATAAGGCTGGCACACACCTGGAAGGTGAATATATATATTAAAGGTGGGATGCGCTGAACTTCGAAGCCGCCCAGAGTGGCTGGGGAAACTCAGTCAGATGGGCGGGGTAATAATAATAATAATAATAATAATAATAATAATAATAATATTCAGGTGCATAGCAAAGGCTTTCTTATTCCAGCGGGCATTTTCAGATGCTGTTGGGGTCCCTCTTCACTTTTATTATGAATTTTTATTGTTTTATTCTGTGTGTGTGTTTTAATGTACACTGCTCAAAAATGCCAAACAGTCGATTGGCAAAAATGCCAATGGCGCTTCCTTTTCCTAGAATCCAGCAACATTTCAGGAAAGATTTTTGCGGTCCTCTGAGGGAAGAAGACAGGCCGCCGCTGGCTCACTGGAGTGTCGACTTATGCCAAGTCAGGTTGGTCATGCAGAACTGCTGAGTCCCAAATTGCTCTCTGATGGCTCTGCTGAGCTCCTGTCAGGCCGACTGGCGCTTCAGAGAATGACAGGCTCCAAAGATGTGGCCGGAGCAAAATGGAAGAACCGAAGTGACATTTCCCGATACGGAAGTGAAATGTGTGCGCGTGTGTGTTTATATGTGTGTATTTACAAATGTAGCCAGGCTGTTCCACACACACATACAAGATCTCTGTTCTGAGGTAAAGGTGGAATGTTCTAGAAAACAGAACTGTCCAAGTTGGTGGCCGTCCCGAGGAACACAGAAATCTGCCATCCCTCTAGCTCAGTAGTGTCTGCATTAAATCACCAACATTTCAGGCAAGGGATATTCCCTGCCATCTCTTGAGATGCCAGAGGATTGAACCTGGTACATCCTCTAGGCCAGCCTTTCTCAACCTGTGGGTCCCCAGATGTTGAACTACAACTCCCATCACCCCTAGCTAGCAAGGCCAGAGCTCAGGGATGATGGGAGTTGTAGTCCAACAACATCTGGGGACCCACAGGCTGAGAACCGCTGTTGTAGGCCATGGGTAGGCAAACTAAGGCCCAGGGGCCGGATCCGGCCCAATCGCCTTCTCAATCCAGCCTGCGGACAGTCCGGGAATCAGCGTGTTTTTACATGAGTAGAATGTGTCCTTTTATTTAAAATGCATCTTTGGGTTATTTGTGGGGCCTGCCTGGTGTTTTTACATGAGTAGAATGTGTGCTTTTGTTTAAAATGCATATCTGGGTTATTTGTGGGGCATAGGAATTCATTCATTCCCCCCCCCCCAAAAAAAAATACAGCCCGGCCCCTCGCAAGGTCTGAGGGACAGCCTCCTGCTGAAAAAGTTTGCTGACCCCTGCAGTATAATAAATAATCAATAAACACACAAGACGTAACCGGCTGTACGTTTGAAAAAATAATATATACTATTCATTGTATTGAATTCAATACAATGAATAGTATATATTATTTTTTCAAACGTACAGCCAGTTACGTCTTGTGTGTTTACTGCATATATGTTTCATGTAACCAGAGGTTTGTTGTTGTTTTGGCCCCTGCTGTGTAGGCAAAGAAGATGCTCTCTCGCTGAGCTGCAGCCCTTTCCTACCGCAGATGTACTACACAATACTTGTGGTGAGTACTACGGCTGTCATCTTTTTGTTCTGGGTGTCAGAGAGTGGGCTGTTTAAGAAGATGTAATAATACAAAAGAAAATGAGGAGGGCATAATACCCCCTCCACACACCCTTTTCGGTTAGACAGCAATCATTAGCAATTTCCCAGTCATGGCAACATGCTTCTTTCTCTTGACAGTGTACTAGCGCTGGTTTTCCACATAATACAATATTCCTGTAGTCGTTTTGTGGAAGAGGCTAGGCTAGGGAAACTTTTGCAACTGGGGGCACAGTTAGCTTTTTATAAAATGCATTTTCCTCTGTCCCTGCTTATCTTTTTATTCCTTGCCTGTTAACACTTCAGCAGCACATTAGCATTTGTCTGTATGAACGCCTTTAATATTTTTATTTGTTTTTTTATGTGCTTTTCATAGAATCGTAGAGTTGGAAGGCCCCCCTAGGGTCATCTAGTCCAACCCCCTGAAATGCAGGAATCTTTTGCCCAATGTGGTGCATGAACCCATAACTCTGGGATTTAAGAGTCTGACTGAGCAACTCCAGCTTATATACTGATGGTTTGTGTTGTATTTTAATGATTTTATTTACTATTTTTACGTTGTGGATTCCTTGGTTTAAAAGAAAAATTAAGTAGTTTATGAATATTTTAAGCAAATTAGCAATTTTTAAAGTGTTATTTTTAACACAAACCTAAATATCATTTAAATGATGATGATTATTATTTATTACATTTGTATAGCACCCTTCATCCATAGATCTCAGGGCAGCTCACAACATAAAAATGCAATATAAAAAAGACAAAATACATGATAAAACTAAAGAACTAAACAAACCCAATTATCCCTCCTCCCACATAAAATAAATACAACAGTACTATTTGACCTGTGTGTGTTAATACAGATTTTTTTTTTAGTAACTAAATATTTCTTCATTTCTTTTTAATTTTTTCCTTTTTGTCAAACCCCTGTTGAAAAAGCACAGCAAAGTTCAGCTCCCACATTTGCAGTTTGACCAGTTCGGCGGGAGGAAGCGCTCCCATTTCCAGATTCTCCTAGGGGAGGGCAATGGGGAAGATTTGATAGTGTACAGAACAAGATGCAGAGGGGTCCCATCCTCCCCATTTGATTTCATTTGCTATCAAGGCTTTCCATGAACTACAAATGCTCAGCACTTTACATGTTGCAAGAAAAAGCAAATTTGCTGGCAGGCTCAAGTGCCTAGGAAGAGGTGCATATTGAGCAGATGTGAGCCAAAGGTTTGTAGTAGCAACCGGAACAAATCTATTTATTGCGCGAGTGTAGGTTGCCAGGCACAGCCCTGCTGGATGATAAGGCTAATGAGAAATAAAGTAGGGTTTTTATTTTACTTTCTTTCACAATGCTGTGCAAACAATTGCACAGATGGAATGGCATTTGAGGAGAGAGCGAGAGAGCCGGAGCTTTTGTCTTAAAGCATGTCAGGATTCTTCCCTTGTGTACATAGCAAGTGTGTCAATATTTGCAACCCGAGGCATGGTGTACTCGGTATTTGTTGCATTCGTTCCAGACCAGCCATCACTCGCCTGAAACTTCACACCCTGACCTGTACTCTGCAAATGTCTTTCGCAACACTTGCTGCTCTGCATTGCCTGGACAAGAGTACGGTAGATGCCCCCAAAGGCATCCTTGAGTCGAGAAAGGTCAAGCTACCTCATACCCAACACTTCCTATTGCTGGCACGAATATTTTCACCCACTTTGCTTGCAAGCTGCAGATCTACCCCATTGCCACCTGCCATCATTTGGAAAGTGACAACAATTACAGTCATACCTCGGATTACAGCCGCTTCAGGTTGTGTTCTTTTGGGTTACGGACCGCCAAAACCCGGAAGTACCGGAACGGGTTACTGCCAGGTTTCGGCATTCGCGCATGCGCAGAAGTGCTAAATCAAGCTTTGCGCAGAAGCACTGAATCGCAACCTGCGCACGCACAGACGCGCAGACACGGGTTGCAAATGCCGTGGGTTGCGAACGTACATCCCGCACGGATCACGTTCGCAACCCAAGCGTCCACTGTAATGGCTTTCTATATACATATATACATACATATACCACTATTCATATGAAAATATTGGAGCACTTTACAACAATGGTATATGAAAACATACCCCCCCCCCCAATATTAAAAGTTAACGCCAGAAATCAGCTAACTATTGTGGAAAGGTACATTCTTAATTGCCTGCATAAGCTTAACGGAATGGGAAAGTTTTCTGGAGACATTTAAAAGTAGGAACAGAAGGCGCCTGCTGAATCTCAGTTGGCAAATGACACTCTTGACCCAATGCCTTTGTCCGAAGCCCCTTGAGATACATCACCTAGAGATTTTATTTTATTATAAGTACCTCTACTATTGCTACTACGACTATCCAGGTGAAAAAAAGCTTGCACTTGAAAGCATGGATGTGTGGCTGATGTAATGGTGATAGAATCACAGAATTGTAGAGGTGGAAGTGACCACAAGGATCACCTAGCCCAACCCCCACAACGCAGGAATTTTTGCCCAACATGGGGCTTGAACCCACAACCCTGAGATTAAGAGTCTCATGCTCTGCTGACTGAGCTATCCTCATTAGTTTGGCCTGGCTAGGGTTGATGGGAGTTGAAGTCTGATAACATCTGGAGGTCCAGAGGTTTCTCCACCCGTGTTCTAAGTCATTAGTTGATTTTCCTTATAATGAGCTCAAGATGGGAAAGGACTGTGGTCTCTGTTAAGGTTTTTTAAAGGTTTTGGGATAAGTTGACTATGACTGTTATTTATTGTCTTTGCGAGATCCAGCAATGCTATTTCGTGTGTATGTACAGCATGTGTAAACATGCCCGAGCGATGACAGAGGTCTCTTGGGAACCAGCTGGCTAAAAAAAGAGAGAGGAAAAAGTTGCACATTCTTCACAAAACTTGGGCAGGGCTGGGAGTGGAGAAAAGCACACATGGACTTTCAGGGATGCTTTGATATAAGAACAGGGGGCAGTTAGATCAGGACTGGCAAAACTTTTACAGATGGAGGATCACAGTGATAATCTTTGGGGTGCAGGAGCATGTCAGTGGTGTATGGGGCCAGAGGCAAAAGAATGAGTGGTATGATTCTTACTTCCATATACTAGGCGACATGCCAGGAAGGAAAAAGTCTGAGGTTTCTACACATATTGCCTCCCCCATTCAGGAAAGTAAGAGGCATTATGGAGAGACCCACACTACATATTTAAAGCATGTGGTTTGCCATAAGGAATCCCAAGTTTCTTAAAGGTGCTGGGATTTGTAGCTGTGTGAGGGATAAACTACGGTGTCCAGAATTATTTGGGGTGGGGGAGCAATGTGCTCTAACTGATCTGTAAGCATGCAGTGTGGATGGCAGGTCAAGGATACATTCCAACTATGCAAAAAGCCCTTGAGAAGGGTGTGGAGTGTGGTCAGTAATGGATCTGTGACCTGGGTGGAGGCGGTGAGCTTGGGTAGATTCCCTAGGGCTGGATAGAGAGATCTGGAGGGCTGCATTTGGCTCAGTTGTACTCAAACTTCTGAGTACCACAAGAAGGGAGTGATTCTGAAAGAAGGGGGGGGGGAGAGCTGTTTTTCACAAAGGCAGAAGTTTGAGGAAACAAGGAGTAGAGAAACACTGAGAGGAAAATGGTGGGCTTTTTTAAACAACAGTGGCTTGACGAAAGCAGGGATGGAGAGTAATGGGGAGAGTCCCAAGGGCCAGGCACAGAGTTTTGGAGGGCTGTACTTGGCCCCGTGACCTGCAACTCCCCAACTCTGCTTTTAGGTAAGGAGTGGGTAGCTTTTTTCCAACTCAGCCACCGACCACTTCCCCACTCCATCCCTTTTCCTCTGTCCCCTGCCAAGGCCTCAATGTGTAGCAACCACAACACCCAGCCAAATTCTGGTCTTCCCTTTCTCTCCTTCCCTCCCTCTCCTATCCCTCTGGGATGATTCTGGAAGGTCCATGAAGCACCTTTCAGCACAGCATCCAACTGGCTCCTTGCCTTGCCTTCAAGATGGTCCTTGGACATGTCTTGTTTAGTTTTGAAACTGTCCTTCACACTATCCTGGATTCTTCCCCTAGCCAGAAATGCAATTTTCTGTCTATCACAGCTCTCAGCTTTGGAAATTACGCAGGGTCTGCCTCAGCCAGCAATGCCGCAAATTAAGTTACTGTCTTGCCCATCATAATGCATTAACATAATGCCTCCCTATCTGTCTCGGATCCTGAGTCCTTTTCTCCCTCATTATCAATAGCTGGCAAGATGCATTGCGCAGAATGTCTAACAGGTTATGTAAGGACAGTGAAGGAAGCTCTCTGCAGGCCATCAACTTTAATTGCTTTGAAAATCTGTATGTGTATAGATCCATCTGTGCCTTTAATTCTGTCAGTCAATCATAACAACAACATGCTCATCACTCAAGACTGGCATGCTTGGAACTCAAGCCATCGTCTTCTAGCAACAGATTTGACCAAAGGGTCATCGTGAATTACATCCTAGCCAAAAAAACAACATCAAAACAAATGCACAGAGGTCCCAACACCCTATCCTTAGAGGAGTCTGGATTAGGGGTTGCCCTTAGTACACACCTGACACGTTAGAGCTGGGATGGGGGGGGGCAGACAATCTACATTGTCACTTTCGTGGGGTTTTTAGTGCCCTCTAGTTCTCTGGATCTACCCACTGGGAATTTCCCCCCTCTTCTGCTTTGTGTGTGTTTAAGTGTGTGACTAGGGATGAACGCATCAGTTAGTTTTGGTATGTCTGCTTCTCATTTTATCTAGTTCTAATTTCTGTTCTTTACATTTCTACAACAGTTTGATGTATATAACTAGATATCTATATCTATATCTATATCTATATCTATATCATCTATATCTATATCTATATCATCTATATCTATACAGTGGTGCCCCGCAAGACGAATGCCTCGCAAGACAAAAACTCGCTAGACGAAAGGGTTTTGCGGTTTTTGAGCTGCTTCGCAAGACGAATTTCCCTATGGGCTTGCTTCGCAAGACGAAAACGTCTTGCAAGTTTGTTTCCTTTTTCTTAATACCGTTAATACAGTTGCGACTTGACTTCAAGGAGCAACTCATAGAACGCAGTGTGGTAGCCTTTTTTGAGGTTTTTGAAGACTTTGGTGATTTTTGAAGCTTTTCCAAAACTTTTCCAACACGGTGCTTCGCAAGACGAAAAATTCGCTAGACGAAAAAACTCACAGAACGAATTAATTTCGTCTTGCGAGGCACCACTGTATCTATATCTATATCTATATCTATATCTATATCTATATCTATATCTATATCTAATGTTATAGGAAACTTTAGTGTGAATTTATTCTATTACAGTGGTACCTCAGATTAAGTGCTTAATTTGTTCCAGAGGTCCGTTCTTAACCTGAAACTGTTCTTAACCTGAAGCACCACTTTAGCTAATGGGGCCTCCCGCTGCTGCCGTGCCGCCGGAGCACAATTTCTGTTCTCATCCTGAAGCAAAGTTCTTAACCTGAGGTACTATTTCTGGGTTAGCGGAGTCTGTAACCTGAAGCGTATGTAACCTGAAGCGTATGTAACCCGAGGTACCACTGTACACACATTTTGTATGCAACATTGCCTAACATACCCATTACCACGAAGCATTTTTGTTTATTATTTTCCCCAAATATGTTTATTTTTGTACACATGACTTGGCTGGAGGAGCTGAATGACAAACTCTGAGAAAGTGCAAGCTTTGAAGGGGAGCTGCATTTCAGTATGCGCGTTGTTTTGGGAAGTGTGAGCTGTACATTATTTTGGGAAGTGTCAACAAGGAAAATTAACCAATTGGCTCCCTGCCCTCACCTTATGTGTGAGACAAAGAAGGACTGGCGTGGTGCCCATTGTGCAAAAAGAGCTATACATTCATCTTGCAAACTGCACCCATTTGGGACTTTGGTAGGGCCCATTTTGGTTTCTGGCTCCATCCATCAGCTGCAACCCTGGATGACCTTTAACAGAATCATAGAATTGTAGAGTTGGAAAGGACCCTGAGGATCACCTAGTCCAGGGGTCAGCAAACTTTTTCAGCAGGGGGCCGGTCCACTGTCCCTCAGAAATTGTGGGGGGCAGGACTATATTTTTTTTTGGGGGGGGAATGAACGAATTCCTATACCCCACAAATAACCCAGAGATGCTTTTTAAATAAAAGGACACATTCTACTCATGTAAAAACACGCTGATTCCTGGACCGTCCGCGGGCCAGATTGAGAAGGTGACTGGGCCAGATCGGGCCCCGGGCCTTACTTTGCCTACCCATGAGTCCTAGTCCAACGCCCTGCAATGCAGGAATATGCAGCTGTCCTATATGGGGATCGAACCTGCAACTTTGGCGTTATCAGCACCACACTCTAACCAACTGAGCTATCCAATGACCCTTTGTAGGGAAAAAGTTCCTGAGCCCCCATTTTAGTAGGCCACATTTCCTGTGTTTGCAGCAGTCTCCATTCATTTCAATCCACCGCAGTTGAAATGAATGGGAGTTCCCCAAATGAGCTGGAATTCTGTGCATGCCTGGGACGCCTCTGTGTATCTACACCCACAATATGCAGGCACCAGTTCCTCCCTCCTGCTAATAGTGTCGAGATGCAGGCTCATCTTAGAGGATCAGAGATACGCCCCTTCCTGCGTATCACTTCTTCAATGCTCTGCTGTTTTGTTTTCCACCAGGCATGAAGGGTTGGCTTCTCTCCTCCTTCATTCTTAATGTTCTGAAATAACAGTCAATCTGGAAATTTTCTCTCTCTCCCCCCCCACCCGCCCCTTGTGGATATTATGACAAGACTTGCTGTAGCAAACAGCTCTATTTCTGGAGCGTCAAAACACTCAGGTGATAAGAAACAATGCTAAAAGATGATGTGCTGTGTGTTAACAATGATACATGATGCCTAGTAAGAATAGAGGGGGGAAATGTATCTTGCAGTATACACAAAGTTGAGTAAGACACCATTATACGCATCGGGGAAAGTAAAGTAGGAAATGCAAGAGAAGTAATTCAGGAAGTAGGTCATTGGCAACTCAGTACCCAGGTATCTTCAGGGCCACTATTGGACCACGAAAAGGATGCATCTCCTTAACCTCTGAAGAGGCTCGTGTAGCACAGGGCTGATGTAACTTTCTTTCACCTGCCAATTGAAAAGAGTACAGGTGGCGCTGTGGGTTAAACCCCAGAGCCTAGGACTTGCCGATCAGAAGGTTGGCGGTTCGAATCCCTGCAACAGGGTGAGCTCCCGTTGCTCAATCCCTGCTCCTGCCAACCTAGCAGTTCAAAAGCACGTCAAAGTCAAGTAGATAAATAGGTACCGCTCCAGTGGGAAGGTAAACGGCGTTTCTGTGCACTGCTCTGGCTCGCCAGAAGCGGCTTAGTCATGCTGGCCACATGACCCGGAAGCTGTATGCCGGCTCCCTCGGCCAATAAAGCGAGATGAGCGTCGCAACCCCAGAGTCGGTCACGACTGGACCTAATGGTCAGGGGTCCCTTTACCTTTGCCTTTTACAAACTCTTTTGGCTCTGTAAGCAGGGCTGGCCCACCCATGAGGAAAGGTG